GCAGAGGAATGGTTCAAAATTCCAGCAACAGGTTAAGGTGACAAGATGAAATGTTACTTTATTGACAGAATTAATAAATGCAATAATAGGCAAAGTATAGAGCAGAATTTGCCACCCTTGTGCCCTCCAGATGTGTTGGACTACAAGTCCCATTGTCCCAACAGCACAGGGAAGATGGATGTTGTAGTCAAATGCATCTGAAAGGCACCAGCTTGGGGAAGGTCATTCTGGCAGAAGAATTTGAATATGTATTTGAAAAAGTGATGATGGTATAAACGCAAAAATTGAACACAGACAACTACAAAAGATCTATTACTAAAACCATGGACTTGATCCAGAGATTCCCGTTCTCCAGTGGAAAAAGTTCCATCTAACAGGAGTTCTTTCATCAGAATACAAACCCTACTTTTTTAAGATGAGCACCATTGAAGCCAACCTATTCTTGTTAAATTGGAGTAGTTTGAGGTTGTCACTGTTGTATTCATTTAATGATCAAATGTATATCAGTAATAACAAGAAAGATGGACTTGTTTTGCAGACATACTGATGAATTTTGGTGGCAGCAAAATTCAGCAGTGCCCCCAAAAAAGGCTGGCAGAAACAAAATGTTGCTCTCTTCTATTTAATGTATTAGTCACCCTATAGGAAATAATACAAAACAATACATAAAATCAGAATCAGCACAGTAAAAGCAATGTATTTAATAAAGCAAGTAGTTTGAGCCAGAAGGGACAAAAATATAGCAGGCATCAAACAGAATGAAAATCAGAAGTATCATAGGGTTAAAAACCACTTTGGAAGACAACATGACAGCAAAAATAGAAATTTTTAAAGCCCATTTGCCTGGTACCAGAAAGATAGTAATATAGCCAAGCAGAGAGGGCTTTATATAACTGGAGGCTACTACAGCTAAAAATTCAATTAAGGGTTCAGAGGAGTTCTGAACCCTTAATTGAATGGATGATTCCATTCAATTGATGGAGGGCAACAAGGATGACCCGGGGACTGGAAACAAAGCCCTGACAGGAGAAATTGAAAGCACTGGGCATGTTTAGCCTCGAGAAGACTGAGGGGAGATATGATGGCACTCCACAAGTTCTTGACAGGCTGTCACAAAGAGGAAGGACAGGATCTCTTCTTGATCGCCGCAGAATGCAGGACATGGAATAATGGGCTCATGTTACAGGAAGCCAGGTTCCGGCTGAACATCAGGAAGAACTTCCTGCCTGATATTGCTGAGCAACAATGGAACCAATGACTTAGGGATATTGTGGGCTCGCCCGCATTGGAGGCATTCAAGATGCAGCTGGACAGCCATCTGAGAGGGATGGTTTAACCTGGAGTCCTCCACTGAGCAGGGGGTTGGGCCCAATGGCCCTCTGTCCCCCTTCAGCTCTACTATTCTATGATTCTATGAATTAGGTTGCAATTGTAGATGTATTTAGACAGGAATGTTCAGCACTGCAGGGTGGGGAATGCTGGGAGTCACAGGACATTTTCTTTAACCCTTTATAGGAGCACTCCTTTGATTATCAATTAAGCCCAGATATTGCAACTATCAACTCCATTTAACACTGTTTAGATATGTTCATTGTAATTTACCATTTTGGAAAAGGTTGGGCTACAATCGAATCACTATGAAATCCTTTGAGGATGGTAACTTAGTTCAGAACACCCCACATTTGTTGGGGCAGGAGACAATACTGTTCTCTCACTTTGTTAGAGTTTCCAATTGAGACAGTTTCTTACACAGAAAAGGTGACAAGATGAAATAGATAAGAACTGAATACTGAATTGAGGTTAAAATCCCACAGGAGACTACTGTCAAAAATTTACAACTATTATTAAGCAGTGAGTTAAACACACTCAAATTCTGACACTGAAGATGAATTGATTATGAACTTTACTTAGTTCTCACAAGTCTGAATGCTTTCTAACATTATAACCTGATGAGCCATTGCATCTGGAATTTTTTAAAAATATATAGAATAAATGCAAAGACATGTTGTAGATGTAAGAGTTCCCACACTGATAATATTCTTTTACAAAGGTAGAAAATATTGGTGCAAAGTGGTTGATTCAAGATCAGTTTTTGCATACACAACCTTTATCTCTGATCAGTTTTCTAGAAGGTTACTTAAGAGAATTGATCCAGAAAAAATGAGGAAGTTATTACTAATTTAACCCTAAATTCAAGAGTCAATACAGCTGAAGCAAATGGAAACTGAAAAGCATGGGGAAGGAAGAATGGGCAAGCATCAAGCAGTCTCTGCTTGTGTCTGCACCAAATGGAAGTGAATCCAGAAAGGTCAGCCACGGCAGCCCTTCTGCCTGCCTCTCGCTGTGAACTGAGCAGGGCCAGCTCTTGCATCCTACAATCCCAGATCAAGTCCTCTGCTCCGAGGTGGAAGGGCAGAGGGAGGCCAAGGGCTCTGCAGATTCAGGGTTACCAAGTGAAGGTGCTCATACATTGCATGAGGACCAGCCTGCCTTGGAATATGGGGGAGAGATTTGAATTGAAGGTGATTGAAGGGAAGTTCCTTTACCTTGTAAAGGGATGACAGGTGAAGCAACCAACTTGTCCACCTAGTCCTCAAGCAGCAGTTGCCACCCTGAGGGTCGAGTCAGAATCTTTTCTGAAAGAAGAGGAGAAGCTTCAGTTTAGAGTTAACTCTGCAGATGGGTAGATGCTTCTTCCACATCTTAAGGAGATTCTACTTTGATTTATGCTGATTTGTAGCCTCTCTCCTGGAAGCAGAAAAGAAGGACTTGGAAGAAGCCTGTTTATGATATGCTGAACAGAAAAATGATACAACTGCTTTCCCCACCCTTTCCAGGTCAGGTGAAGGAGGTCTGAGATGCTCTATGTCAGCTTTACCCAAGCTGGGGTCCTCCAGATATGTAGGACTGCAAGTTCTCAGCTGGGGATACACAATAACCAGGGATGATGGGTGCTTTGTCCAACACATCTAGAGGGCTCTTGCTTGGGGAAGGTTGCTCAGTATAATCCAGAGGATGAGCACTGTTGTGCTCTTCTTTAGCCTGGAAGGAGCACCACAAAGCTGTCCCAGCTCTCCTTAAAGGGACTGAAGAGGGACCTGGACAGTGACTTGGGCTGCATCCTGATGCAGTGGTCACTCCATGCTGCAGAGAGGCAGGCCTGCAATGCTGAGTGTCTGAGCTGGGAAGAGCCCTGGGAGCAAAGGAGGCATGTGAGAAGACATTGGGATGGATCACAGCTCAGGGCAGAGCATGTCATTTGTATGCAGAAGGGCCACTTCGATCCTTGGCATCTCCAAGCAGGGCTGGAAAAACTCCTGCCTGAAACTGTGGAGAGCTACTGCTAGATGGAACAAGTCTGTCTGAGTCAGTACACGGCTGCTTCCAAGCTTGCTTCATACCTTTGCTCTAGTTTTGTTAAAAATGGGCATTGGTTGCTGCTTTCTTTTTTAATATAGCTTGCATCCTGCAATGTTTAATGTTTTCATCCCCTTTCAAATATTTCTGAGTGCTCTGAAGAAGAGAATGCAACTAACCAATTTTTAACAATGGAGCAGAGGGACAACTAGTGCTGCCATGCTATTCCAGAAGTGCTCTGTTTGACTGTAGGGGCACAGGAAATGTTGTGCATGACTAGGAGGGAAAGCTGAGCAAGAGGGTGCGACTGCTACTGCTATGTGGAGGAGCCCATAAGTCAATGCTGGAGCACATGCTTTGTGCACAGAAGGGCCCAGGTAAAAAGGTGAAGCAGCAGCAGATGGAAGATGTTCTTATCTAAGGCTCGAACAGGTTGCTGCTAGGCAGAGCAATATGAATTCAGGTGTAGATGGACGAATAAGGAGGCTCAAATGAACCCCCTACACATTAAAATTAAAAGTGGGGAGTGATGGGAATAGCTTTGTCAGCATGATCCCTGGCCATGCACCCTGTGGACTAGAGGCTTAGCACCCTGATGAAGAAGCCCTGTGTGTGTACCAATGTGCGTATATCTGTATGCTCATAGATCTCCTCTACACAAGGGGATAATCCGGGGAATCACATCCACCTCTCAGGTAGAGCAGCTCTCTGCACATACACCTGAATGCCTGTAGGGCCTCTTCCTACAGCATGGAATGTACAGCAGATGGAATATATGGCTCACAAGGATGGTGGTGGCATGTAGGGCCCTGGGCAGCCTTCATTGTCCGATCATCCCCTCCCTGCAAGAAGAATCACGTCTGCCTCTGTTCTGACCTATTTGAGGGCAGTCTTCTATGTCTGTGCTTGCACAGGAGGTATTCTTAGTTGTTCCACCTCAGTGGCAAACTGTTGTATGTGTGGACTTGTGTGTTCCATCCAGTTTTAAATATTCCCCTCTCCCCTGCCATAAAAATCATGAAAGACCAGGGACAAGCAGTGTGAGCAATCAATAGCTCTCCACAGGAATGGAAAGGGAAGCCCATCAATGGGTGTAACCCAAAATGCCAAGCAAGAGCCAGTGTTGTGCAGAGGTTAGAATGTTGGACTGGTGACCTGGGAGATCCACGCTCTAGCCCCTACTTGGGTGACTGTGAGCTAGTCACAGGCTCTCAGCCTTGGAACTCTCAGCCCAACCTACCTTGTTGCAAGGAAAAGATGAATATATATATATATATATATATATATATATATATATATGCCACCTTGGGTTCCTTAGAAGAGGAAAAAAATGTGTGGTATAAATGTAATGTAATAATAATTATTAAACAAGGGTGCAGTCCTGTCACCCTTGTAGCAAATGCTTATAAGCCTTGGAATGAGGAAGCCAAGAATCATTTAATGCAAGGTATGAAGCGCAATGGTAGCAGTCTTGTGCCCTCCAGTTTATCTAAATGTGTCTTGCATTGCATTTAGAAAAGACGAGAAAAGATGTCTCTTACTAGATGGTGTTGGCTATGTTTTCTCTGCATTATTATGTACTCGTAAGTATTCTTTCTGTGGTGGAAATTGTCTCCAGTAATATCTAATGTCTGCGCTTCCAGGCCTCTGAGGGTGTTCCAGTACAGTATTTCAACAGTCTGGATGAACTGATAGAATTTTACAAAAAAGATAATATGGGGCTGGTGCGGAGCCTTAAATTCCCAGTCCAACGTGAGGAGGAGGAAACGACAGATGAACTGGAAGAGGATCTGGGTAAGAAATTCAAAACACAAAAGCTTGTATTGTTCCTAATTAGTCCCAGATTACTGGAAATGAAGAGCAAGAAATTGTCAGGATCTGTCCAGCTGAAGGAGGAGTAAGTACTTAGCTTTTATCTTTTGCTGTAAATCTGACACACCAAGCTAAATTCAGCTGACCAGCCATGTCTGATAACCATCACAGGCAAGTCCATGAGTACCAAGTCATTCAAGAAGTATGGGGTACTCCAGGAACAAGCAAGGTTTTACTGGCCTCCTAAGAGAGCACTTTCAGACATTCTTCTGTTAAGGTTAACAAATAACAGGAGTCGGTCTATGTGTACTACCAATTTTAAAAGGTAGTTCTTTCCTTTGTATTCAAATGCCACATAAATGCCACTCTCTGAACGTGTATTCTCTTAAATGTATCCCAAAACCATCTAAAGCTCACACTAGCTTTGTTCGTGAATGCTGTGAATTTCTCACTGATATTTGACTCACAAGAGAAGGTACTATTGACGTATGAACATTTTTTTACCACCTGATGGGCATAATACAGATATTAATTTATGGTGAAGTATTACAAAATTTAAATTTATTTCATTTATATCCCATCTTTCCTCCACAGCCAAGTATGTGGTCCCTACTCACCATTATTTCCTCACAAGAACCCTGTGAGGTAGATAAGGCTGAGCAATGGTGACCAACCCAATGTCCAGGCTGGATGGGGATTTGAACTATAGTCCAAAATTCTAGCCATGACAGCACGCTAACCTTGCATGGAACGCAAAGCATACACTCTCTGAGAAGAATAGCACTCCACGCACACCCCTCCATCCATTACAAATAGCATGCAAAGAGGCCACCTGGATCAGAATCTTTCCTTTTCTTTTGTGACAGATCATATTATGTCTGCACCACCTATATTACCTCCACGTAGTATTTCAGTGCCTCCTCTGGTAAGTGAGGCAAAAGAAGAGCTTTCCCCAAATGAAAATAAATCGGCGATGGAAGTGAACAAACCATCACTTTCTGAGATACTGATCCAGCGCTTACAGCTCCAAGATACCAGCAGGTGAGATCTGGCTATTAATTTATCTCAGGAGGTGGAAACAGGAACACAAAATGCAGCCTGTCCCTGTTGTTCTCACAAACCTTTGAATTAACACATCCTTAGGGGGTGAAAGAGAAAGCTAAGAAAGGGACAATGTCCATGGAAGTTATGCTAAAGGTGCCTTGAGACCTTTTGTTTGTGTTTGTTTATTTTATTTATTTATTGGAATTGTTTAAAGCTGCCCATTAGCATCATGTATTGCATGGCTTCCTTTGAAAGTCTACCTCTGGTTGTCTCCGAGGTCAGCCACTACTCAGTTAATCTTCACAACAGTAGGGGATCTGCCGGGCCAAACTTGCCCAAACAGTCTGATCCATTCTAACAACACCTTTACACAACCAGAGACTCATGGGGGTTATTCCTGAGAGATCATTTAGACCCAGCTTACAACGCCATATACAAGATTGTACTAGTAGCAATCCTCCAGGAGGATTATACTCGTCATACTTCTAATTCCTGAGTGTAAGGTCTGGTCATCCAAGCATTTTCTTTCTTCATAGTATTCCAGAGGAGCACCTCAAACTCATCCAGGATTATTTGAGAGTTCATATTACCAGTGATCTTGAAACAGTACAGCTAGGCTCTTGGAACCTCCCTCAGCTGAAAAAACTGCTTGCAGGTCTCTGCAAAGGACTCTTCAGGTAAATGCAAATGAATCTGGAATAGGGATGTGTGAATCAGCAAAACTTTGCTTCACCAAATTTCTCTGAATTCTAACTTGAAGCTCCTCAGGTTCTGCACTGCATTTTTCAGTGTTTCTCTCCCAGTGATTAAGCCATATTTGTGCAGATTTTTCAAAAGTACGTAATTGTTTCTTGCACATCTTTCAAATATACACAAACTATGGGATTTTTGATCTGTAAATCACATTGTAAGCTCAAAAATGTATGGGCCAGCTACAGGTTGCATCCAAGTCTTTGCTCAGTTTGGAAGGTGCACACTGAGTAACCCCTGTTAAAAATGAACTGAAATTAATTTCTCATGCATGTCTGGTCTGGAGGCACATTACAATGTGGAGTTAATGTGAGGATTCTATACATATGGATCTATAGAAAGCCTTGCCTGTAGTTGACCCAAGCAGATGTGGCATACCCGTTTCTTTTCATGGGATTCTAGTCTGAACTCTTTCTAGAGAGGATACAGTTCTGTTCGGGCCAAAGTGTGAATGGCATGGAAGTGTATCTTTTCACTTATGGAAAATTAAGCTCAGCCACAGCCAGCCTTTTCCAGCTTGGTATTCTCCAGCTGTATTAGGCTACAATGCCCACCATCACCCTTTGCCCATGCTGGCAGTCATAGTCCAAAGTATTTGGAGGGCACCAGGTTGGAGAAGCCTGGCCTAAGCACTATCTCAATAGCACTGCTGAAACCCCATCATGTTTCTAAAGAAAAACCTTGGCATCTATGATATACAAATGTAATATTTACTTTCACAGACTCTTTTAGACTGATTAGCAACAGCTGGCACAGGAGCACATGATCTGCAATCCAGAGGACATATGTGCTCTCCCCCAGTATTTTAATTGCAGCCCACTGGGGCACCCTGACTGCAAAATTCCTTCCCCCAGTGTAGCTGATACAAACACAGCAGCCGCAGTACAGTATTGCTGGGGACAAGCAGGGAAGGTTCTCTATTACCTCCCCCATATCTTCATATGGATTAATCTTTTCCCCCTGCTGCTCCTATCAAGGAAAGAGCTCTCTGTCTCTCTCTCTCTCTCTCTCTCTCTCTCTCTCTCTCTCTCTCTCTCTGTGTGTGTGTGCGCGCGCGCGCGCGCAAACATACCGCACAACTCCTGAGTAGCATCAGAAATACTCCATGGGCTGAACTGGATCTACACCCCCAATTTACTGCTACTACACAAATTGCTCCTCATGAATTCCTTATCTGTCTCTGCATTTTCAGTGAAGTGTTACGGACTCTTCCTTCTTTGGAGTCCCTGCAGATGTTGTTTGAGCAGCAGCTGTCCCCCGGTAGTCATCGACATGCTCAGGTAAGTTAGAAGCTGCTCTTTGCACAAGGCAGTCTAATGAAATTTACTTAGGGTGCAATCCTAGACATGGTTAGGCAGAAATTCTATGCATGGTTAACCTACCATGTAGGCTGGGGCAAGCTGGTAATTGTAGGTCTTTTTTCTACTGAAAGGGTGCATGGGACTGCACCCTTCCTTAGTTAGCGTCATTTCTTTCTCACTTGCTTCTTGACTCAGGCATGTGGAACATGCAACGAACTGTGCAACACCATCCACTGACCTGTAAAACCACTTTTCGCTTTTTTTTCTTTTCTCTTGCATCATAAGGTGCAGCAAAGTTCCTCAAGGCTGGACAACATTTGCTCATTGGCTCTGTAGTTTCTCTTCATCCTTTTAGGCAGAGGTGTAGAACTTCAAGCCTGGAGACCAAATCCACTCCTGGAGTCTCAATATGGCACTCCAGGCTTTCACAGACTTCCCTGAAATCATTGGGTAGTTTCCTGGTTTCTGGGCCATTCCCCCAACCCCCTTCTAAAAGGCTGAAATTCTTCTCTGAAGCCTTAATGACCGGCGGTAAGAGATTTAAGTAAAAATATGCTGGGATGCATGGATGGATGCATGGATTGCCCATTTTGTTTTCAAGCATGTGCACCACTGGCATGTGGCCCCAAGCCTTTCTCTGAACATGAAATTGCCTCTCAAACAGAAGGACTCCTCTTCTTAAGAGAAGGCTCATAGCTTAGTAGCAGAGCAAATGTTTAGCCTGCAGAATGTTCCAGGTTTGATTTCTGGTAGTTCTAGGTAAGAGTAATAACCCGAACCTGAACCCTTTCTGAAACACTCTAGAGCTGCTACCGATCAGTATAGACATTGCTGAGATAGATGGGGCAGTGGTGTGACTTGGCATACACACTAAAGTCACCTTTCTCTGTGTTCTACTGGCAAGTCTTTTCTTCCATCAATGTTCATAGATCAGGTGTTTCTTCTTTCTGAAGCCTAGAAAGTCTCCATGTGACTCTATAAATGGCACCATTTTCCCTGCATGGTTCAACTCTAGACCCATAATTACAACGCTTCCTTTCCAGCACTTGCCAGCCTCTCTCACCAGTATACCAAGTTTGAATTATATTGTTTTCGATTTTAACTCTCCAGCAAGTTCAGTTAAATTCTGAGCCCCTGTGTTTCAGAGATCAAATGACTGGCTGGGATAATATAAAATGTTCTAGTGCTGATTGTCCTTTCTGGCATCCACGTATGCTGTATGATTTCAGGTTTCCACTGGTAGAAAAAGCTGTTTCCTTGTTACTTACATGTTTTGCTTTTCTGTGTAATTCTTGCTAGCCATCTTGTGAAGTCACCCGTGCCAAACTGGTCCAGTTGACAGGCTTACTGGCTTCCATTGAAGAAAAGGTACAGTGACATTGATCATTCATCATTCATTGCTACATCTGTGTTTTATTCATGGTAGCATTGATTGAAAGAAATGGGGTGGAGGGGCTGTAGCAGGGAGGGAAATCTAGAAGTCATTGCTAAGAAAATGTACTGGAAGGTACCATTTCTTCTCTCTTGCACTAGGCAGGAAGCAATGTGCTTCCACACCTAGGCTCTATCTTTTCTAATAATTTGCAAGTCAGATACCCAATGTTATCTTTTCAAAACTGGTTTATAATCTATAGCCCCTTTCATTATGGAACCTTGTTTCATTATCAAGTTTCCCAATTATTGATATCTGGTAGAGAGGCTCATTTTGGATACCCTCCCACTTGTAGAAGCCCATTTTTTAAGGCATTAGTCTGTCTCCTGCATCACTTGCAACTTATACAATGCCCTCCCTTCAGAGTTATGATTGGTCCCTACTAGGGATGAGCAAAAATGTCAAATCTGCTTTCTTCTACATTCAGTGTTTTTGTTTTTGTTAAAAACAACAACAACAAAACCTCAAGTTCTTTTCCTCCTGCATAGGAAGAACTTGCAAATTTTGGTAAATTCTGATTAGAAATCAATGGAAATGAAATTCTTACCAGTCTGCAGTAGCAAAGTTCAGTAGCTACACCTGTTGCCAGCACAGAGAGAACCATGATGTTCTTGCCTGCTGTGTAGCTGCTGAAAATGAGGACTTTGTCAAAAAAACAAAAAACAAAAAAACACCAAGAAATTGGATCTCCAGTTCAGAACTACCATGGCTGTATATACTATGGCTTATTGTAAGCTGTCCCGAGACGTTCTGTAGGGGATGGGATAGAAAAACTTTTAATAAATAAAATTCCATGAAATTCAAACCCAAAATTCTGAGAGCAAAGTACTCAGGGCCTAGATGGATGAAGCCATCATTTTCACTTCCCACATTCATTTTTTCTCCCAGATATGGAGATCTTTGCACATATTGGTACATTCTTATCAGAAAGGGAAGAAAATAATCACTGATCCCTGGTTCCCACACTCTTGACTTTTCAGAAAAGAGTTAAAACTTGCATTTTTAATATGGTTTTTATTTCTGAATACTGGTTTTAGAGAGCAATCCTGTGGCCCCTAGACAGTATCTGAGATACCATAGGATCTCCTCCATGTCTGCAGTCAGAGCTATGAGCAGAATGGAGGAGACCCAGTCATGGATGTGTAAGCTCATAATAAAATTTGGAGGGGAAGAAAGGGGAGAGTGTTGGTACATGGGGGGGGGGGGGAGAAGAGGCCAGGATTTACGGTATCCTATGGCCTCTCCAGTTCTCTCCCCTCCCCCTGAAAGATGAGTCAGCCAGATCACCTCTGTCCTCCTCCTACCATATCTGGCTCCAAATGAGGAGCCCTCTGTTTATCAGGAGCAAAACCCACAAGGTTGTCTATTTAAAGTTCCTTTAATATTTTGATATAGTCTTATTGCATTATGTTTTATGTGTCATTTTTCTTTAAATTGTACACCACCTTGATGACATTTGTAGAAAGATGGTGTAGAGGTATTATAAATTAATAAACTAATTATGTGTACCCTTAGGACTGTGACATGCCCACATGGCAAGTGCATTGTTTGATCTACTAGGATCTTGTAGGTGCAGGAGGCTGGGAACAGCCCCAGCTCTATCCTGTGTGGCTGTGCATTGGGTGTTGCATTACATATGATGTGACCTTCATGGAATCACAAGTTAGAGTTGAGCAGGAAGTTTGAAAACAAAAATATTTCTATTTCTTCACAATTTTGTTGACAATTGAGAATCTCTGTGGCCAAATCAGGGTGTTTATTATTTATTCTCAGTGACTTACATGGGGTGATCTAAATTGGGAATTTATCTTTTGGTTTAAGCTTAGTATTCCAGAATAAGAAGTATATGTGCTTGCATTTCTACAGGTGAAAAAGGTGCTGATTGAAGGACCTGAATCAACACATCGGCGTTCACTTATCCCTCCTGTAACCTTTGAGGTGAATTTTCCTTTTCTTCACTCATTTAAGAAGTTCTCATCATGCTATAGAGAACCACTGTATATGGCAGGACAACATTCTTGTCTTCTCTGCTAATGAAAATAAATAAAAATTGATGGTCAGCCTGAATATTATGCTATATCAAGGCCAGCATATTATTGATGTTTCTGTTTGCAAGAATGTGCTGCTATGTTCCTAAGACTGAGTTATGTAATAGCCAAAACTGGACTGGGGAAAGGAGAAACCACTTTGAAATAATGTTCTTTTTTTCTCATAGGTGAAAGCAGACTCTCTTGGGATCTCATCCAAAATACATCTTAAAGTTGATGTTGAGATGGGAAAACTCATCATCAAGAAAGCTAAGGATGGTCCTGAAGACAAGTTCTACACCCACAAGAAAAGTAAGTTGCTTGCCTCTGAACTGCTGAGCCCATTGTCACTCCACTGATCTGGGAGTAAACGGTATGGGCAGTTCTGCTTTTTTAGGGCTGCTTCAGATACATTTTGGCTGCATAGATGAGTGGAGAAAGGTGTGTTCTGTCATGTTCAAGGTCACTCTTATATCTATTTATATAAATGTACTCCTACAGAGTATAACTCTGGGTCCCCAGATGTTGTCCAACTATAAAACTTATTATCCCCAAGCATTGGAAATGCTGATTGTGGATGATAGGACCGATAACATTTGGAAACTCAAGGCTGGGAAAGATGGTGGATATGCATGATCACACTTGCCATCTCTATGTTTTCGGTAGAAAACAAGTGTGGCAGAAGGGTGATTTGGATCAGGAACACCATAGTGCTTGGGTGGGGGATTTCAATCCTTTCCTCCTGTATTGTTTCTCCAGTAAAAACCTGCACCCCAAAGTTGTGATTTATCTTGCTAAGAGAAAGGTAATAGTACCTGTACATTGATCCTGAGAGGGCAAGTGTCCCAATCTCAATGCCTTTTCCTGCCACACTAACCTAAATAGAGGGAAAATCTGAGGCAGAGCTCAACTATCTCATGCAGTTTGGCTTTCACAGCCTTTTCTGAAACTGTCCTTCATTTTTGTCTTCAGTATGTTTATCAATGACTGTTTGCTGAGTTGTAATCTTTTCCCCAAAGATGAGACCACATATTTTTCTTTTTCAGTTGAAATCTGCTTTGGTTTCTTTGCAAAAGCATATCTTTCTATTCCCTCCTGCATCAAGCACTTCACTCTGTCTTATCCTTTGCTTCCCTGCCATTCTCATCTGATTCACTCATGTCCTCTTGCATTCCATTTCTAAAATAATGGTGACATCCTTTTTCAATGTGTCCTCCAAACCCACCAGGAGTTTCTACCATCTTCTCTGTGATATGCAAGCTTTGCTCTGGGGATGTTATTATAATATGATTTTTCCTGTTTCAATACCTAGGGCTTTTTTTCTTTTCTTTTTCTTTTTTCTTTTAGTGAAGATTTAAAACAAGGATAGCAGTTCTGGTTCATGGGAGGAAAAAAAATCCAACATCCACAGTTGGTCAATACCTTTAGGACTAATCTAAGTTTCACAAAATCTGCATACTTTTCAGCTTTCTGTAATTCTTGGCCAGGCTACATAGTATAAAAAGAAGGGGATGTGAGAAGTAAAGTTGAAAATACATTTTTGGCCCATTCTTACACTAAAAAAAATAAGCATGTTGCTTTTGGTAGCAAATTTCATAGTTTCACTGCACACAGTGTGAAGAAATATTTCTTGTTTGCCTTGATTATTTTGGGAATTGGTTTTATTTATGAAAGTGGATTCCTGTAAAGTTCATGACAGTTGATGAAATTGGGAACAGTAAGTGCACGATAACTTCCAGGCCAGTGATGGGCTTTGATTAGTACAAAAACCTATCTTGCAGAAGGTAGTCCCTTAAGGACTAACCAGAAATTGGTCAGGAATAAAACAGGGCTGGCAATTTGGTCATTTGAAGGTAATTCTGCTATAGTCCTATTCCAGTTTTTAAAATATTTTCCTCTGTTTTTAAAAATCTTTTCTTCTGTGGCAAGTTCAGCATAGGACTTGAACCTTTGCTTCTGCTGACTGTGGGGATATCCACATCATCTTTCCTAGAAACAATTGGTAACTTCTATATATTAGAAGATAACTCTGTTACAATCTCATATTGTTGTAAGAAAAAAAGGGATTCATAACCATTTTTGGTCACAGAACTCACTCAGGATTTTTTTTTTCTTGTGGGACAGCCAGTACTTAACAAGGAACTGTTCCAGCAACATGACAACCTTGCACCTTGAGCTCAGTCTTGAGTTGCTGCCATTTAAAAAAATCAGAAACCTCACCTCTCTTCAACCAGAAGGCTTATTTGGAGGTATACAGGACTGGAGTTTACTGCTGTTATGAAGTTTCATGTATATAGACACTAACTTGAGCTGGTTCTTTTGGCTTCAACATTTTCACTACCTAAAACTAGCAAGATCTGCTTAGCTTTTGCCTCTCCTTAGTCCTACAGCTCATCAAATCTCAGAAGTTCCCTAACAAGCTGGTGATTACACTGGAGACAGAAAAAGAGAAAACACAGAAAAAAGAATATGTATTTGCTGATTCCAAGGTAAATTCTCTGCTATGGTCCTTCCACACACACTAGATTCCTTTGGAATAGTGGAGGCATTGCCATGTATGGCATTATTTTCCATTAAAATAAAAATTATGAAAGGAAATCAATAATTAAAATGTTAACACAGAGAGAGTGCTCTGTAAGAGAAACCGGTGCTGCCTAAATTGGATAAACTGGCAATTTAGAGAGGCAATTAAAAAGGAAAATCAGAGACACTTAAGGCACAATCTTATGCAAGTCTGGACAGAAAATAGAACTCCCAGTCCTCCCCAGCCTGTGTGGCACCCTTAACCTCTAATCCTCTAGCCCAGATTAACAGGGAGCAAGAAAATGGACTGAGAACTTTTGCAGAAGAGAAAACTGAACCAATGGATTTTAGGAACCAAGTCTGTTCCATTCAAACAAGCTAGGAATATATTCAGGGAATGTGTCATCAGCACAAGTAAGTCTGTAGCACAGAATAAAGCAATGGTAAAAGCACAAAACCTGTTCTATTGGTGTATGTGCAAAGGCAAGGAAACAAGCAGTTTAGGTAGCCTTTACAGTTTCAAGAAGACAAAGAACTTCAGGTCTAGAGGAGGTTAGTGAAAATTCTTGGAACAATGTTCTGCCTTAGTATAGCTGAAGTAAAACTGTGTAGAAAAGAAGAACTATAACAAGGATGGGGAACTTCATGTAGAAGTTCTCCATGCAGCCCATGGAGGCTTGGGCTCCTTCAATCAGCCTCACCTGCTGCCCATCTCAAGCCTCTGGAGGCGGGCAGAAAGAGGATGCCCCTTTTATTCCCAATCACCCTTACTACTGATGTGTGAGGAACCTGGTTTGGGGGTCTCAATCCAACTGATTTTCTCAGCTTGGCTCCCCAAACTCTGGCCCACTTTCTCTCTGCCCTAGGCCTGTCTTCCTTTACACATCCAGCAAGAAGCAAGCCCAAGTGCTTTACATTACAGATGCACAGGTGTAACTAGCAAGGCCGGCTCATGCACATGCCAGCTGCTGCCTGCACATCTGCCATGCAACCAGAGTTCTGCTTCTGCACATGCGACGGGCAGGCTTTGTGTACTTAGTGGAATAATAATTCAGTACAGAGAAGAGGCCTGCTAGTGTTTCTGAGCATTCCTGGATTTTATATTGGCTCGGCTCCCTTTCTGGCCAGGGCCAAGTGTAGGCAAGAAGTCCAGTGAGAAAGCTGGATTCCAGGCAGATTTTTGCATCACTGCTTAGGACTTCTTTCCTAGCACAGGAGCGGCTGGCAGTATCACCCAAGTGCACTCACTCCTGCTTCTCATTCTCTGTGCAGAGAATGAGAAGCAAGGGCAAATCAAGGTGTGCACGTGGCTGACACTTCCTGGAGCTCCTGCACATGCCAGGTAAGTCTCTTCCTACGCCACTCATTGCCCCTGCTGGGGACGGAGGCATGTGCTCAGCTGGCCCTGTGCTCCATGTGTCGCCGCGCAGGCTGCTTTGTGTCGCCCTCTGCATGGAGAATGGAAAACTGGGTCAGGTGGGGACCCAGCGTCAGACGTCTGATGCTAGGGGAGAGGGAGTTGCTTCGGGAGAGGGCCCCCATCCCCTCAGTGCCAAAGTAATTCCTTGCCCTATACTATACTGATATATACCTAAACGTTCCCATGACTTGCCTCTCCTTTAGCATCAGAAGAACAGTAAATGTTCTTAGATTCAAATGTTGCACACATGGGGAAGGCCACTAAAAATGCTCACTCGCAAATCAACCATGCAATTTTACACTATCCATACAGAGCATCCACACAGCACCTCTGGGTGGTGGGCATGGCATGGAAGCCCCCCCCCCCCCTTTGGCTTTCTTTGAATGATTGACGTGTGCAGCATTTTCATACTAGTCTCCTTTCTTTTTCATTTGCTCCAACATTGCAGAAAAGAGAAGGCTTCTGCCAGCTTCTACAGCAAATGAAGAATAAGCATTCTGAACAGCCAGAGCCTGATATGATCACCATCTTCATTGGGACCTGGAACATGGGTATACTAGTCTTTACTATCCAAATGGCTGCAGTGACTGGGTTCACACAACATGTCACTGGGTACTCACAGCTGCGTATGGATTGAGTGTTGTTTAACTGTGGGCTGCAACTGAACTGTGTGTTCTTGGACTGTGTGAACCCAGCCACACTAACCATGAACAACCCACAAAAAGAACCTGTGGTATGTTGCTGGGTTATGAGCTGTGGGTTGTGCATAATTAAGAAACATGTTGTGTTGTGTAAACTCATTCCTGAGTTTACCCATGGTTCAGTAACACTCAGCCATGGAGTTCACTGGGTGACTTTGGGCCAGTCACATACTCTCAGCACAACATACCTTGTTTTTGCAAAGATAACATTGAGTGGAGGAGGAGAATTATGTAAGCTGCCTTGAAAGGAAAAAAGGCAGGATAGAAATATAATAAATAAATAAACTCACACTGAACTCATGCTCAAACTTGAATATGGTTTTCTGTGTCATGTGAACTTAGATAATGAGCTTCTTATGGGGGAAAGAGAGAGACTGAAGAACAGTCTTCCATGCACAGTATAGCATATTCATACGGCTTCAGAATAAGCCTACCATGGGCTTATTATATTGCTTCATTACTCTGAAAAATGATTTAATATGAAGATAACCACTTTACAGAATTATCAGATAGGCAGATTCACCTCAGGATTATAGGTTTCTTTCCTGACAGAATATCTTATTTTGTTAACAGCAGCGTGACAGCAAAAAAAAAGTCAAAAGTTGCAGCTTCTTGTCAGTACCCCATCAGCACGTAAAAATTGCTGGGTCCCCCCCACTGCCAACCTCCATGTCATTAGAGGAACCGTATGTCAAGAAATGTGCTATCTGTCGTAACCCTGTTTTTTCAAGGGCAATGCAGATAGAATATGGTAAAGAAAGCTATGAGTTTGTGTCCATAACCCTGTGACATTCTGCATATTTGTCCTCAAGCCCTGGGGGTGCTGCGGGGGGGGGGGGATATCTTACTGGTGGAGCTTAGTTTTTGCGCATTTTCAGATAGAACTGACAAAGACTCCTGTCTGGTATCCTGCAGAGCAGTGAGATAATAAATGTACGGATTTTGTAAAATCCATTCTATCTGTGCTTTGCAAATTGACAGGCAACTTTTGTTCCAGCCTGTGCTCATTGAGGGAATCAGATTATTTTTAGGAATGCAAGAGAATTTGCTTCCAGTTTCAAAATATGCACATTAGCGCACATGTGCTTTTATGCAGACTGACCCCAAAAGTAAGAAAAAGAAAAAGAAAAAACAGAAAGTGGTCCACGAATCTGTGAAGTCCACCCAAGTTAAAATAAGCCAATCTGATGCGGAATCCACATGCTGGATTCAAAGAAATCCATTGTCAGATTTCTCTGACATCCTTAACTGATCAGTGCTCTGATAAGTCCATTTCGATTTTGTCCAGGTGATGCTCCTCCACCAAAGAAAATCAGCTCCTGGTTTCTCTCCAAGGGGCAGGGAAAGACCCGTGATGAAACTGCTGACTATATTCCACATGACATTTATGTGATTGGCACACAGGAGGACTCCTTGGGAGAGAAGGAATGGCAAGAGATTCTAAGGCAATCCTTGCAGGAGATCACGAGCATCAGCTTCAAAGTGGTAAGGATCTGTTCCCTGCTGATGCGTACTGAAGTTCCATGAAATTTAATAGATTTCACGAGCTGCTTTATGCAAACAAATATGTGATCTCCAAATTGAAGGAGATCACTACATAATTGCTTTTGTTTTTCTTATTTAAGAATACAGTTTAACATGCTGTCTCTGGAGGCAGTTAGATACAGTGCCCATCAGATAGACTATGTGCACTTGGTGTGGCCAAATTATTTTGCTAATTATTTCCAGTAGATGATAATGATCAAGGTTGTCCTTGCCATCTCTTTCACACATTAGGTTAAAGGTAGTTCTAGTATTATGAGCTACATTCTGTTATCCTAAATACTGTTATAGAAGTAGGACAGATCTTGAAACACAACTTCCATTCAGTATTGTATTTCTGTACACAATTAGATTTCAGTGGCGTTCATACTTGTGTGACATGTTACTGAAATGAGAACATTTAAAACCAGGGTTATGTTGCTCAAGGTGGAAGGTTGCCATAACATAAATACCTTTATCCAGGCTTTACTGTAGCTCAGTCACATGGAAGTACCTGACAGCTGATTTTGTTTCCTGCTTTCTTATTTTAGATAGCAATCCACACCCTCTGGAACATTAGGATTGTTGTCCTGGCCAAGCCGGAACATGAGAATCGCATAAGCCACCTCTGCATTGACAATGTGAAGACGGGAATTGCAAACAGGCTGGGTAAAACTTGGGTGAAACAGAACTAACAAACAGTCCCATTGAACTCTCTTAAGATTGATGAACATGAAAGGAGGCATTTTCAGGGACTTCTTACCTATGGAATTCTCTGCCCTAGAAGTTGTGTCAGACTGCAAGAATCTTTTCTACATTGTTTAATTTAGTTAGGGCACAATTCACTGCCCTCTGCCTCACGCTCACAAGTGCCTCTGAATTCAGAGGAACTCACGTCACATCCAAGGTGTGGAGCGAGGGGTAGCAGTGCTGCAGCAGCTCACTCTGTGTATTTTTTCTAGGTGGTTGTTCTGAACTGTTTAGATGACATGCCTGGAAAGTTGGGGGAGGAGGCTGGAACAACAATAGGAATTAGCATAAGCTGTTGACCACAACCTCCTCCCCTCCCTGCTTCCCTTAGGCACCCTTTCCTGCTTCTCTGAGGCACAGTTGCATCCTTGGAGAGGCAGCTGGTGCAACTCTGTCTATGCAGTCTACAAAGAGGGCAGGATTTCCAGCTCCAGAGTGACAGAACCACTCCAAAGAATCCCGTGGCCTCTCAAGCAACACTGGGAGGCCATAGGATTGCACTCTTATCAGTTTTATTGAATTACAATCAAAGGAAATGACAGTACAAAACACATAAAGACAGTGATTGCAATCAGAACTGGAAGTGGTAGGAAATTCAGCATGGTATCTCAGTCAACCCAAATATTGAGCAAAAAAGCGATCTGACTGTAAGGTTACTTATTAACCTCCCATTGCTGTGTACACGTACACACATAGGGCAGTTTCCAACATTACTGTCCCACTTTAGCAATTGATGTAGCATCAGCATAAGTGACATCTAGCATGATGCCAATAGGGTATGCTGGTGCTATGGGGTTCTGTGGGAATTGCTATACTCCCACAAGAGGGGCTTGGATCAGCCCCCTCAACTTATCTATGCCTGGAGTTACAGCAGCTTATTGTGCAGCCTCTCTGCAACTGCTTTCACTGGGGTGGGGGTAGAGGGAATTAAAATCAAAGTATTTGCCAGGCTGAAATGCACACATACACACACAAACTTACTTTCCACTCTTGCCAGTCTGAGCTGGCAAGGATTGGAATGCAGCAATAGATCTGTTGTTTCACTCCTCTCTGACGCTCTTTGTATGATGACTCTGTGAGTCAGTTAAGATAAACATAATGTAAATGTTCAAGAGAATAAAAATATATATTAATAAAGAGCTGCTAATTTGCCAACAGACATATCCAAAACATGAAAACATGTTGCTGTAGTGAATGATAATAACGCAATCCTCCCTAAACATTCAGTTCCTTAAAAGTTCCGGGTTTCTACTACAATATTCTGTTGTAGCCAGTCATATTGGAATAATCACGATCTCAAAGCAATTCCACCTAACCACAGCACATTTGATATCTTGATATCTCTGTGTCTTGTTCTGTGCTTCCTCTCAGGCAATAAAGGAGCCGTTGGAGTGTCATTCATGTTTAATGGAACTTCCTTTGGTTTTGTGAACAGCCATTTGACCTCTGGGAGCGAAAAGAAACACCGGTAAGTTATTACAGCCTGCCTGAGGGTCCCTGGAGAAACTTGTTTCTGGCTGATAGGTTTCCATCTGTACCAGATGTGTGTGTGTGTGTGTGTGTGTGTGTGTGTGTGTGTGTGTGAGAGAGAGAGAGAGAGAGAGAGAGAGAGAGAGAGAGAGAGAGAGAGAGAGAGAGAGAGATCTGAACAGCAAAGGGAATGTGCAGAAGGGAAGGATTGAATCCACCCGTCTCCAGCACCTTTGCCTCCCTGTAACTACTCACTGCAGCCATGTTAAGAGTCAACAGCAGCAGCAGCAAACCCAGACTAGTGGTCCATCTAGTGCAGGGGTGTGGAACCTGCAAGCCTTCAAAGGTCATTGGAGTCCACTCCCGCCAGTCCCAGCCAACATGGCCAGTGATCTGGGATGGTGGGAGTTGGAGTCCCACCTCCAACTCATTCTGATTCCTGACCTAATCCATCATCCTGTTTCTCAGAGTGGTCCACCATTTCCCTCCTTGAAAACCACCGCTTTCTTCTTCCCCTCTTCCTCAGTGGCTTCCATGCTCTGAACCAGGAGATACCAGGTTAGCACACACCCTATGTGCTAATAGTAAAGTCATTATCTGAGTGTGGATTCTTATGTAGTCGAAACAGCATCCTACACACAAGAGGGAAATATCCAGATATCTCCAGGTAGAACACACAGGGGAAATCCTAAGGGTTGCAGATGGAGAGGGACAAGGTTTCAAAAAAGATCAGGAATCATGAAATTAGTGCTGACTGGGAATGATGGGAGTTGCAGTCTAATGCATGACCTTGGGCCAGTCACAGACTCTTAGCCTAACCTACCTCACAGGGTTGTTGTGGAAATAAGATTGAGGACAGGAAGAAGTGATTGATGTGAGCTGCTTTGAGTGCTTCAAAAAGAAAAAAAATAAATATAATTAACAAATAAATCTGGAGGGCACCAGATTGGGGGTCATCTGCTTTAGCATTTCTTTGTAGGAAAGATGTCCCAGACTCTCATTTTTGGTTGCTCTGTCTTCCACCTTACCAGGATTGCAGTGCCGCCATGCACTTTTGGCACTTTTTTCAACTAATTTCCAAATGCTTCCTGTTCATAGACTTACAAAATGCATATGACAATAGTGGTGGTTTTCTCAATTCTTCACGTGGAGCTGGATTTAGTAAATTTGGCTGGGGCTATAAACTTGAGAGGAGCTAACTTGCAAAAAAGGGGGGAAGGTGCTATGCCTTTCTCCCATGCTTTTTATTTAGCCTTAGTGTTAAACACACAAACACTGCCCCATATCCAAAACCCCCTTAGTATTGTATGTGGACAATGCTAGGAATGCCTGCGCCCCCTAGCATTTAATCCAAGCACCCCAGTTGAGAGCACAATTTTTTTGCGAGCACCTGCTTTTAATGCTCACAGCAGCCTCACTGGTGCTTGAAGCCTGGAGAAGGCAGAAGGAAGGTTCTGGGAGAGCATGTTTCTGCATACAGAATAAAGTGAATGATAGCCCCAGGCCTGTCCCTGGCAGAGGAATACATTCCCCCGGTGCTTGCTGCTTTTCTCCCTCCCCTCCCCAAGTCAGCATCTCCATCCTTGGGAAAGGGGAGGGTTCCCAGGGTCCTGGATATTTGGAACAAACAGAGCTGACTTGACCGTACCTCTGCTCACAGGCTTGCTAACAGTTGCTTTTTGGAAGCTCCTGATTCAAATTCTTTGAACATCCTTGAACAGGGCAGATACATTATGCATGTCTTTCCTTGTCATATCCAGTTCAGCCCCATTTAAGTCTGATCTTAGCCTTTCAGAGGGAAAGCTTATGGCATCTTCAAATGTGCAGATATCAAGATGTGAGCAATAGCCCCAGTCCTGTAACTGGTGATGTTAATAAGGCTACCAAAGCTTGGCCAATAAGGGAGTGCTGGTGCACAGGCACCTTAAATGATGCTTTTCTGTTTCAGGCATGAGAAAATCAGTATTCCTTTGGGTTATGGGGTGGCATAGAAGTGGAATCAATCAATCAATCAATCAATATGCCACATGCCTCCTGTACAGCAGACACCCCTAATCAGCACACATAGCTTACCCTAGGTAGTTGGAGCAGCTGTAACTATAATTATAACATCTCTTCATTTAATTAAAAAATAGAATAGCTAAGGATTACTGTTTGTGTGTGTGTGTGTGTTTGTTTGCTTTGCCTTGGCTCAGGAGGAAACATTCCAGGGAACTGTACAGGGAGGGGGGGATTTGACAATTTGTACTTACTTGTCTTGTTTGTTTAAATATGTTTGTTAAACTCATAGCCCTCTTCATTCTGAAACAGACACCATACAGATATGCCTATATAAAACAGAGGAGTCAAATTCTCTATTAAATCACAGTACTTTTCCTTCCTTCCATGTCCCAATTTCAGCTTCTTGCAGCACTTGCGCATTCCCATGGCAACACATGCTGCAGGTTCTCCTATTTATCTATCTATGGCTGCAATTTTTATTTTTGGAAGATTTCCTTGCATAGGAGCACAACATTCACTCAAGGGATGATTCAGGGTCAGCCCTGCTGTTTTCTGAGCCTTTGGGGTCGTGCAGAGACAATAATATTTCAGAGACCCAGGGTGCTTCCACATGAAGGGTAGTATCCTGTACTGCTGCTGTGCCTCCATTTGTTCTTTTGGGCCAGTGGAACCAACCAAGAGGACTTCCTAAAGCAGCCCTGGGAATGAGCATAAATACTCATCTTTGCAGCAGAGTCCCCCTCTGCAAATCCAGCAGAGCTGCCCTGTGCTAGACTCGAGCTTTTCTGCAAGCTTCTGCTTGTGCCTCAGGTGCCCCATTGGATAGCAGTTCGAGGTAAGTCAGCCATACAATTAGCAGAGGAAGGACTGGGCTTTCAGTAGGTCATGCTTCACCAGTTAAAGCCTAGAGTTTGACAGGTCGGTGCAGGGAGAGAGGCCAAGCTGAGGCTCCCTTTAAGTAGCCACAGTGCAGACTACCAGCCAAATTGGGCCAGAGGAAGTGCACCAGCTGGAAACCGTATGAGTGCGGCAAAGACCTTCTCCCCTCTCCCACCACGGGCACCAGTGCCCTGGCACAAACCTGGGGCAGCCAGAGACTCAAGCCTGCTTCAGAATCTGGTACCTTTCTGTGGCACTAGCAGTGCGTCTCACTAGTGTGTGGGCAGCTTTGATATTGTGGCTCTGAGTCGTATTGTGCTGGTAACGACAACTGCCACACTCATGTCCAAATACACACTCATACCCAACTTTTTCCCTTTTAACTTCATATAATGATTATGTGTGTGTGTCCCGTTAAACATGTCGTAAATTAGCACAGGTCCTCCTCAATATTTCAGTAACACTCTCTTACTTTTTAATCACCTTTTCCTTTAAACCGTATGACTTGATTCCTTAACTTAAGCAAGTTCATGGAAGGAATGGATCCTTTCCCCTCCTTCCTCTGTCCATGCCTCACATGGCTCAAGAGCCTACTTACCCTACATCCCCCAGAGAGACTTTGGGGAGATCATAGATGACTGCAAAAAGAAAGAGGAAACAGAAAACCTTCTAAGAATTTTCCTGAACTATCTTATCTTGAGATCCAAGCTAATATGCATTCTCTCTCTCCTGCAGTCAAGATCATTTATCCTGCCAACTTTCCCTTTAGAGTGAAATTGACTAAACCAGAAGCTTCTTGCCTTCAGGTCTAGTTAGTGTTACAAATATGTTGATATATATTGTAGGTAGTAGGGAAGAGGTTGCCATTAAGAATTAGAGGAAAAGAGACCAAGTGTGCATTTTGATGCATGTTTAGACAGGAAAAAAAGCTCCACAACTCCCAGCATTCCCCAGCTGGCTGCATTGGGAACTGGGAATGATCGGAACCACAGAACTTTTTCTGTTTTAACCTGCAGAGGACGGCTCCCCTTTTCTTCCTGCTGTGAGGCTAAAACTTCACCTACTGCAGTGTGTACATTTATCAATCTGGCAATCACAGCTGGTTGTAAGCTGTTAGTAGTGCTAAGTAGTAAGGCGTTTCTGCAGCTATACAGAAATGATTCTCTGATGCTACAGGAAAGGATGGGATTACAGCCAGCCAAAGGCAGAAAACATCTATTTTTTGCTGAGGTGGACTGCCAGGTAACTTACTTTGCTGGTACTAATATTGCTGAATTTTTTAAAAGCTGTTTTTAAAGTGCCTTTAAGATGCAGCTGCAAGGCAACTTACAGCTACAGGTAAAAATATAATGTGTATAAGATTAAACCCAATATACAGTAAGGAGGATCTTTCTTTTGTTTTATTAGGCGCAATCAGAACTACACAAGTATTCTGCGCTTTCTGTCATTGGGAGACAAGAAGCTGAGTCCCTTTAACATCACTCACCGCTTTACTCATCTCTTCTGGATGGGAGACCTGAATTACCGCCTAGAATTGGCCCCAATGGTTAGAGAGCCTTTACGTTTCCCTTCTAGCAAACAGCATTTGGCATTCAGGCAGAGCACATTTCAGTGTTCAGAGCATCACACATCCATTATTTTGGTAATTGTTACAACGACCTTGCAAGGTAGGGCACTGGTATTAATCCCCATAACACGTGGTGAGTTTGTGGCAGAGACAGGGCTTGAACTGGGGATCTCATGGTTCATTGCTTGTACTCTTAGATTTTGTATAGATACATATAATTTTAGTGCTGAGCTTTTTACACAGACCTATAGCCTTCTCGTCTGGAACTGGTTTACAGGGAAACTTTTTCCAGATGCCAGCAGAAGCTAGATTTGCTTCCAGACAAGGAATGTATTGTGCAATTGCCATGGTTCATTCACTTACATGGTGGCCCCATATTATCATCCATGTGTAATCTTCCTGCTTTCTGTCAAAGGAAGTCCATTTCTTAAAAAGAAGGGCAGAAGGCTTGCCCCATCTCCACAGAGGTAGATCCCCTTGGCACTATTTTGCCATCTTCTTCAAAAGATGTGATTTCAGTGCGAGCCTTGGTCTGTCTGGCAGGTGAGCTCATCACACATTCAGTATAATCTTTGCAATGCTGCTATCTTATCACTTCTTAATTAATTTTAAACACATCTTTGAAGAAGTGCTTAAATGCTTTCCTGGTGCCACTTCAATGAAACTGTGTTTCATTTGAGAGAGAGAGAGAGAGGGAGAGATTATTATACTTTTATACTGCCCAGGCAGTAGAAGAAGCAAACAAACCACCTCCTAGTCATTCCCATTAATCACTCCTAGCAGAGTGATTAATGGGAATGACTAGGTTGGCCTTCTTTAAATTATATTTCAAGCTTGCTTTGTAGCATCATAGGACTATACTCCTTTGTTACTTCAAAGAAAAAGATATACCACTATAATGCCAATTTAAAAAAAATATTTAAGGAAAGCCCTTCTGATCATAAACTTGCTAAAATAGCAGTGGATGGTAAGGGTTCTCCCTATCATGTATATGTGTGCTGTATTGTAGTATTATGTAACACCCATCAAACTGAGCAAGATTTCACCATTATATTAGTATAGCCAAAAACTATAACCACATACAAGAGTGATCTAAAAATAAATGAAAGATACAGATAGGACCCCCTGCAATGTTGGTGTGTGCTGAGCTATGACAGGTTTGGCTTGCTGGTAAACCTAAACTCATGTCTACAGCACAAGCTTTATAGAATGACAAGCAAGTACTGCTAGGGGCACTGCTCTGGCTGGAACCCCATAGGATATATGTATAGGAAAAGCACATTCTTCTTTGATAGTGTGGAAGGCAATGCCAACTCTATTTGCAGCTTACACTAGAAGAGCAATCATTTCCTATTGCTGGAGACTGTCCAGCTGAAAGAACTCCAGCCCTCATAAAATAAGTTTAAAATTAAAAATCCCAAAAGACACCAAATGCGACTGCATCCAGTTGGGACTGAAAGCGGAGGTAGAGGCATGGGAGATCAAGTTTCAAGTTCAGGAACAAGTCTGGGGCTAATCTATCCCATCCCTGCAGGGACTCTAAAGACATTGATCTATCTTCCTCTGTAGGGATTTTGAATGGAAAACAAAACAGAACAGAATGTTCAGCATAAATATTCTCTGCAAATAGTTGATCACTGAGCTGCTTCCACCCCAGTGATGCTACCTGGCATCTTGTTCTTCCCCAGCCATCAGCTTAGCAATTCTTCAAACATTATGGATGTTTTCCAGACAAAAGCAACAATAATCTCTTGGTTAGTAGAAGACTGCAGTCTAACAGCACAAGCCTAAGCATGTTTGCGCAGATGTAAGACTCATTAAATTCAATGGGACTTACTACCAGATATCTGCACATAGGATTGTCAGTTCTAGGCAACCTACAGGTCCAGTCTGATACGAATGACTGTTTTTTTATTGTTGCAATATCACTGCAATATCACTGTAATAACTATAGTAGTTCTAAACCTATTATACCAGCGTGACAACTTTTAGTATATTTCTGCATAATAACTTAGTCTGGCACAGTGTTGACAGATGCTAGATCACAGCAGCAGTTCTTGGAGAGGGATTTTTCTATAACCCTTTCCCCTTGTGCCATTTTCTTGATTTAACTCGCGTAGAAACACACCGTGCTGCTGTTGGTGCTCACAAGTGCAAAAACACCTGCACATGCATGATTTAAATTAGAAAGAAGTTAAATCTCAAATACTTCAGCATTGTTGTCCCAAACCAGTTTTAAGGATGAGCATGCCGGTCACACATTAGATGTTGCTCAGCCCTGAGAATGGGTTTTTGTGGCCTCAGACACCAGAGTGCTGTTTACTATCAAGGAAGTATCTGTGAAAGAAAACAGAGGTGACATGATGACATTTCCACCTGTTATCAGGAAGCAGAAAATATCATCCAGAAGATCAAGCAGCAGCAGTACTCAGAACTGCTGAATTTTGACCAGCTCCTCTTAGAAAAGAAGGAACAAAAGGTGTTTCTGCAGTTTGGTAAGAGTATTGTTAAATTCTGTTCTTAAGCCTATTTCCTTTTCCTTTGCCCTGCATTGAAAAAAATTCTCATCAAAGGGGAAATCACTGAGTAGCAATGCATGCAGACTGGGCAATTTTCTTTATGGCATTGCAAACACAATGCCTGTTTGAGATAATGTGAATTGAACTGTTATTGTGCATAACAGCCACTCATTGTACACATTCACCAAACCTCATGGAAATATGTACTTAGCCTGTCTATGAAGAGGAAAAAATGCACTCTCCAACAGAGTCTGATATGGGCCTATCTTGACAAAATTTTATACATTCTTGAGAGATATAGGCCTTGGGAAAATGCCAATATTGCAACAGGATTTTGTATATTTTTCTGGCATTATGCATATTGTCCAACAGGCCTCTGGAAATGTGGATGTCTGAACTGGGTTTTTCTTGCAAGGATTTGGTCCATTCTCTGGTCACTAGGCACAGTCTCCAGCCAGACTTGGGGAATGACTTTTATCTCAACTGTGTTTGGTACATTCCCTGGGCAATATGCACATTCTCTGGTTCATAAACAGAGTCTCAAATAAACATATGTTTTGTTTTCTGTCTTGTTTGGAGGTGGGCAATTTGCAGCCCACAAACCTCTTGCAGCACTGCTTAATTTTATGCGATCAATGGCATTTCCCTCCCACAATTGGCAAAAAGGGGACATGGCTGCAGCCTTCTTTTCCTACTTCCCAGCTGTTCCCTGCAGATCAGCAGTGAGTGTGGGGAAGAAAGGCTTAACCCTTTCTTCTCCCCTGTGATCCCAAAGAAAATTGCCTTCCCCACCAGTGCTATAAAGCTTAGAAAATAATTCCTGTCACACATACACTTGTCAACTTTGGCAGGGAACAGCTGAGCAGTAGGAGAAAGCGTGCTATGCTGTAGGTAAAATAATTTTTTCACTGAAGTCCCAGCCACTTTTCCTAGCTGTTCCTCACTGATCAGCTGAGCAGTGAGATCCTGCAGGCAGCCATGTCCCCTTCCCCTCTGTTCATCCATGTGAAAACATGGGTGAGGGTGCTGTTGAATCCATGTGCCCAAATACACACAAGCGACGCATGTGTGAGAGTGGATGGATAGGGTGGCATGTATGAGAAAGTGACAGGCACACAGATGAACCTCATTGCACAGTCCTTGCCACCCCACTTTCTTTTTTTGCCTCTTACCCAGCATTGTGTGCAAATCAAAAGTTGGAGTGTGTATTGATGGATGGAGTGTATTTCTGTATGTTTGTCTGTGGATCCCTGCACACCACTCACATACCCACCCTTTCACACATCTAAGCAATGGGAGTGAGGCAGTTGGACAGCAGATAAAGATTAATTTTATCTGTAGGCCAGCTCCGGTTCCCCCACACTGCTCAGCTGTTTCCTGTTGATCAGCTGAGCAGTGTGTGGGAGGTTTATTCCATTTCCCCTCGGCCGCTGCCCCCCCCCCCCCCCGCAACAGCCTCAATGAAGATTGCTTCCCATCCCATGCAATCCTTCTGTAAGGTTTATAGCAGCACGTGGGGCGATTTTCATTCAGATTGCAAGGGAAAGGGTTACCCTGTCGTCTCATGTACGCAGCTCAGTTGTTTGGCAGGATATAAGGAAAAAGGTTGCAGACAGGACCACTTGGTCCATCTGTGCAGATGATTGGTGGGAGGTGATGCCACAGGTTGCATGCATAAACTGTGGTCTACATGTTGCCCATGGGTTTCCCAGCTCTGTGCTATAGTTAGAAAACGAGGAAATGAGTTTTTGGAGACTATGCATATTGCATAGACTATGCATATTGACTGGAGAATGAAGGAAATGCTGCTGATGTATAGACATTCTCCACTGCCTGTTGGAAAGTATATATATTGGCTGGGCAATGTATGCCATTCTTCTTTCATGAACAGACTGTGTGTGTGCTCTCCATGAGGCATGGTGAATGTGCAGAATGGACGGTTGTTATGCACAATAACCATTCAACTCACATTATCCCAAACAGATGTAATATTTGAAATGCTGTAAAGAAAATGCCATAAGCAGTCTATACTGTTGTGAGAGACCACACAACAGCTAACCATGTGCCACATGGGATGTTTACATGCATGAGCTGGATGTAATGTAATGTAATATAATGTAATGTATGCACTATCAGCTGTACGTTTGGGGTTGTCAGTAAAATTAAAACAACCAGCCATCTGTCTGTTTCAGAGGAGGAAGAAATAACATTTGCCCCAACCTATCGCTTTGAAAGGAACACTCGGGAGAATTATGTCTACACCAAGCAAAAAGCCACAGGGGTATGCCATATCTCCTAACATATTGTAATGTTTCAAATTATATCTATTGCCAGAACTGTTTCTCCTTCTATAGACAGAGTGATGGAGAAAATATAATTGAGAGCAAGCTGATGGCTTTTTGGCAGCAAAGCTTTCCTTCTGACAGAGTGAAGCCGTCTTGATTATTGGTTCTTCTTTTGTTTGCAGATGAAATACAATTTGCCATCCTGGTGTGATCGAGTGCTCTGGAAATCATATCCCTTGGTGCATGTGGTGTGTCAGTCTTATGGTGGGTAGATAACAGATTGAAAATAGCAGCAGAGCTGGTTTAAACGGAAATGATTCAGAGCAGAATCTGCAGAATTGCCTTTCACTGCCAAGTTCTTGCCAGCAGATACATCCTTTCCTTTCTGGCTTGGAGTGTCTTCTCCTGGAACTAGGAAGTGCGATCGGGCATCAGTTAGTGGTGAGGGAACCTCACCTTGCACATGTTAGGAAGCTTTCTTCACCCAGTAAAAGCAAGCAAGAGATGCCTCTCTATCATGTCAGTCATCTGCAGAATATCTCAGCAAGTGCAGGCTGCAGTGTGTGTGTGTACAGATAGATGTAGATATTTTTGTAATTTTATAGATGTAATTTTATATAAAATTAGAGACATTTTATCAGTTGCCACCCACCTTAATTCAGAGACTTGCAGAACCCAGAGGAGGATGCCCAAGGATGATCTTAACACCTGGACAGGTTCCTGTGAGCAGCTGGTCCTTCAAGGATTCCACCACTGAGGGCTACTTTAAGATATTTGTGTACCAGATGGATTGGTTATTTGCTAGATACATGAAGCTGTTAAAGGCATGACATTGCTTTTTTTGTGAATCCCTCTGAAGATGAGATGATTTGCTCTCATCTTCTTTTGGGAGATCAGGAAAAGAGGCTCTTGATATTTGCTTTTCCTCTCTTAGGATGCACCAGTGACATCATGACAAGTGACCATAGTCCTGTTTTTGCTACATTTGAGGTTGCTGTCACTTCCCAATTTGTCTCAAAGAATGGTAAGTGCAGGCAATGCAGTTTTCTTCTTTATATTTTGTGTAAAAAGATGTGGCATACTAGGCTCTAGCTGAGTGGAGGACAACTGCAGGCAGTTTGGGCCGCTCCCCCACACCCAGACCTGCTATGGGTAAAACCTCAAAACAAAGGATGAGAAAATGGATTTGTTGTTCACTGCCACAGTCTGGCACCAAACTTCTATGGAGGCTCACAATAGACAAATGTGCCTAGTTTTCAAGCTAAATTTGTCCATTTAAGTCTCTATAGTTGTTTGTCGCCAAGTTTAGATGGCAAACCACATTTTTTTGCATGCTTTTCTGTTGTTATTGGTAGTTGTTTTTCAAATGCACCCCCACCCTGCTCAGGCACCTTTGAGAGTATTGCTAAAAGCTGTCTTTAACCTGAACAAGTCTCCTCGTTTTGCAGATGACAAGTACACAGACTCTCAGGGACAGATTGAATTCCTGCACTGCAGTGCCATCCTCAAGACCAAGTCTCAGACAAAATTCTACATTGAGTTCTACTCCAGCTGCTTAGAAAGTACTGCCTCTCCTGCTGTTGTATTGTATAGCAGTTCCTAATCATAATTAAATTATTTAGAACATTGTAAAGGGAAGGGGACAAAAGGGAAATGATTTGCTAATTTCATTTCTGCATTGCTCACAGGCTTCTAAAATATGTCTATGGTAACATTGAACTGTTTATCAAAACATAGCAAATGGGTCCACCATAAGCTGCCAGGGGATGGTGCTCCCCCAGGGACAAGTGTGTCTGCTCATTTTGGGTTGCCCCTGGAAGGACTAAATTTCCATTCCATGAGGGTTCACCTCAAAGTGTCTCAGGCAGGCAGTGAGGCTATTAGCAGGGCAATGGAAGTGGGTGCGCCGGAGTTACAGCCCCGGGGACCTGATAAGCCACTTGAGAGCAAGAGTGGGGAGACATGGAATAGCTGCCCCTATTTGCATCCTTCCCTCAACTAGCAAATTTGGGATTGATCTGCCAGTTTGTTAGATCTGATTTGCGACTGATGTAATCTTGTGTGGCTGTTTATTAATATAGCATGCACTTCCATGACTGAAAACCATTCTCCAAACTCAGTAATAGGCTGGATGAGGACCCATAAATTGAAGCTGAATTCTGGGAAGTCAGAGGCATAGTGGGTTGGTGGTTCCTGGTCTGGGAAGTTGGTACCCAACTTGTTCTGGATGAGGCTGCACTTCCCCTATAGAAGTAGGTATACGGTTTGAGCATGTTCTTAGCTCTGGCATTGTCTTTTGGGTTGTACACAGCCTTGGTGGTTCAGAGCAGTAGTAACCTCTGAGTTAGATTGCTGTTGTGTGTTATGTGTGGCGCTACCCTTGAAAAGAGAAGCACCAGTTCCTACACAGTTCACCTCCTAGAATTCTGATGGTTTTGCCTACATGGAACCACATCACAACTGTTCTGAGATAGCTACATGGTTGCCTATTCGTTTTCAAGCCCAGTTCAGTGATTTTAAAAGAGGAAGCCCTTCTCTGCATACCTTTCCCAAGAATAGTCCATTTTTCATCTACAAAGGAGAGGAACTCTTCTGCAGTAGCGCTCTGACCTCAGAATGCCTTTCCATACACCTGGCACTAACACAGTCTATTTTTCAGCATCAGAATTGTATGTATAGGCTTTTTTAAAAAAGGAAATCTATATTTTTACTTGTAATTTTTAATCCTGGTGGTAGTCATATTCCTCTCAATTTTACTGTACTATATTTAGTTTTAGGCCATTTTATGGTTTGGAAAGTTTAATTGTTGTTTAAACTTCCCTAAAATCATCTTTGGAATGAAGGCATAGTAGAGAAGATCTAAAAATTCAGAAACAAACATGTTTATACTACACGTCTACTCAGAAGTAAGCTCACTGAATTCATTCATTCATTTATTTATTTAAAGCTTTTATATGCCATCCCCTCATGCCTCGGCATCTCAGGACAGCTTACAACATAGGGATGGCTTACAACCATTGGACCTACTCCAGCTCAAGTGTGTATGGATTGCAGCCTCTGATGCATTTGTATATCACATAGGCAAGCAGACATGAGACTAGGCGCGTTCCCCCCACACTTAGCTGTGATCTTGACTGAGTGTCCCGAGCAAATCTCTCTCACATCACCCTATTTATCCCAGATATCATCTAAAGTGCAACATGAAGGGTTCCTAAAGGGCTCTCTCTCATTCATGCACTGACCAGACACTGTCTTACTTGGCTTCAGTGGCATTGCTGCATCATGCGAGCCAGTGTGGCATTGTGGTCAGAGTGTGGGACTGAGCCTTGAGAAATCTAGGTTCTGGTTCCTGTTTGGTCATGAAGGGCACTGAACAGGAAAAAGGCCCTAAATAAACAGGGAAAAGGACGTAAATAAAATGAATGAATGAATGAATGAATGAATGAATGAATGAAACATGCCTTCAGGCGCTGCCCTTGATCTTACTGCACAGAGTTATGAGATTGAGAGAACTGGGCATGTTCAGGCATGAGAAGAGAAGACTGACGGGGGGGGGGGGGGGACATGATATCCCTTTATAAGTACCTCAAAGGCTGTCATGAGGAAGGTCAAGATCTCTTTTTGATGATACCAGAATGTAGGACACAGAATAATCAGATCAAGTTGTGCCAGCCCAGATTCAGCCTAGATATCAGGAAAAGCTTCCTCACTGTCAAAGCAATACAGTTATTTGTTTGCTTTGCCTCCAGTTGCCTAGAACGGTGGTGGGCTCTCCCACACTAGAGTCATTCAAGGCAAAACTGGACAGCCATTTGTGTGGGAGGGTGTAAACTGTGTCCTGCAGCAGCAGGGGGTTGGACTTGATGGCCTTCATGGCCCCTTCCAACTTGACTGTATGATTCTGTGAAAATATACATACATACATACATATGTGTTCCCCTGAGCTTGGGAAAAAAGCTCAAGTGTTTGTTTTGTAGTGGGAAAAAAGCTCAGGTGAGATAGACGTTTAAATTACATCCAATTTCAATGGTTACTCTGGTATTTGTGCATAAATACCTGGGCTCTGTGATGGCTATAAACCCTTCAGGCCACTGCAGTGCAGCCTGTAGATGAGTTATTGCGCAATGCCACACAGTGTATGGCAAGGTGGTTATAGTCGGTGTAGCAGAGTCAGCTCGTGTGTGCACCTATGAGAGGGAAAGAGTGATTCTGTTTTAAGTCGTAATAGGAACATAATGTTGCATCTGGTAATATGCACCAAATTAATATGCTGCTGCAGTAGTTGAGGTCCAATCTTTTATACAGTTACTTGTTTGCTTTGCCTCCAGATAGCACAAATCATGTTTTTGCATACTTCTCCACCCTGATTTAAGGTAGCTTGCAGATGCATACAAAATAACTTCATTATCCTCATGAAAAGTGTTTTAAACATCTCTTTTGCCCTATCACTGAGACAGGGTTGTGTTGTTTTTGTTTTTTAAGTGATCATGTAAACAGACTCTCCCAGAGCTATCTCATAATCACTTTCTCTTCCACTGGAACTTAGATTACAGGGCTGAAGCTTCATTGATTGTGAATTTCAGTCAATAAAAGCACTTCAGATCTTGAGAAATCAAGGATCAATATTTAGAGAGCAAATAATTGCAGTGTGATGATTGTGTAAACAGAATTATATAGTGGGCCTGGAGATTATACTTCTGCATATTTCAGAATCTGTGCTGTTGACATAATGAGTAAGTACATGTCCAAATTGTGTTGACTGTGCTGTCACCTTTTGGAGGAGGGTGGCAGATCCGAAAGAGCGAAAGTATGCCTCTACTGTACCGTTCACGTTATTCACATGTCACAGAGCTCTATTAACCCAGCTCCGCTCAAAAAATAGTTTGGCTATACAGAGATTTGCATACATTTCTATGGAAACCATGTGTTAGGAATCTTAAATTAGAATTTTAAAAATGTGCTGTCTTGAGTGGTGTAGGAAGAGCTGTCATGTTCTTCTTCTCTTCTTGCTCATGCAAGCAGTGAGCCCCCTAATGTCTTTCTTAACCAGAATGAAATAATAAAAAGACAATAAAGTGCGGTCATTTGGAAATGCACTAGGTAAACATTCCCTTAAGATCAGATCTTTATGTACACACAGGTGCTTTCCATTCTAGTGTCCAACAAGAGGAATAATTAGCTGTTTCTCTTTGCTGCCAAGTTTTGCTTTGCTTTGTTTTTTGTTTTACAAACATGTGTGCTTGTGGTACATTTCTCAGCGGGTAAAAACTGTTCTTTTCTAATACTTTTGCAGGCTTTGTAAAGAGCAAAGAGGGAGAAAATGAGGAAGGAAATGAAGGGGAACTGGTGGTAAAGTTTGTTGACGCTCTTCCTAAGGTAGCCTGACAGTATGTTTTTATACTTATTTTAACTAAGCTATTCTTTGTTGTACAGCCAATGTGTATTGACTTATATAAAATTGATTCACGGTATATAATCAACCATGATTGTTGTTTGCACGCGTTTCTGATAATACTGCCCAGGGCCCCAGTGGGACAGGATACACACAAAGGTATTGTTACTCAGCCTTACCAACCTCAGTTTCACTTCCCCAGTGCTGAACAGCAGGAAGTGAAACTGACAAGATTCTTCTCCTACATTCTGGGGAGACATTTGTTAGAGCAGCAAGAGGAGGATCACAGAGGCTTTAAAAATCAGGGGGCATAAGGAGGAAAGATCCACAGGCACCTTTGCCGGATGCTTAGCACCTGCTTAGAACCATTTTTGTTTAAAAAACTAGACAAGCAACTTACCACCTTGGTGGTAAAGCAGAGAAGCACCCTGCCTCTCAAAACTGGGGAATATGCGGATGTGAGCAGAATAACAGTTTTATTCAAAGGTGTTCCGAGGTTGAGTACAATACTTACATCAGGGAAATGAGAAAGGGAGGAAACGGACAAAGAAGCAAATTAATCACCCAAGCATAAGGGATGTATGCCACTAGGCATGTAAGATCTCACAGGAACCATCAGTTGGTGCCTGTGCCATTTAGAGAGTCATAGTCCAAAGAGCATCCTCTAGAGTAGGCTGAGATGATGCGGTGGAGATACATTTTTCCTGCCAAAATATGCTGTGTTTTGACTGCTGTGAAAATGCAGCATCCCTATAACAAGAGTGCTGTATAAAAGGAAAACATCTAGATCCCTGTAACCCAAAGTGCAGACCCATTTTTGCACTACTAAATATTGGATGATTCTTGATCATCAAAAGTTTGGGGCCAGACTGGATGAGATGCCATTAATTCAATTAGTGGCTTTTAGAATGCCTTCTAAAAAAAAAAAGTGGCGGTGTACCACTCAGAGAGCTGTGACTATTGGGAGGTATAAAGATGCTGCTGACACCTGGATTACCTGTGAAATGTAAATGACTACAACAACTGCATGCTTGAGCAGTCCAATGTGGGTCAGCATCCTGATGTGGGTGGTGGTAGGGATTTAACTCTTTATCCCCTGCTCTGGAGGACTGTGCCTAAAGTTTGCATTAGACCAGGAGTCTCAAACTCACCTTACCTGGGGGCCGCTGGAAGTAGAGTCTGGGTGAGGCTGGGCCGCATCAAGTATTCCACCACCGCGGTGGTGGTGGGCCGCTCATCCCGCAGTCAGCCCGGGCGCCGCCGGTGCTTTGAAGGCTGCAGAGCCCCTCCCCTGTGCCCCCCCATCCCAGCAATTGGCCCGTGGGCCGCGAGTTTGAGACCCCTGCATTAGACTAACGTGTGTGCGTGTGCATGTGCACAAACGCACCTTCTAAACAGAGTTTTTGTTCCCAGGGAAAGCATGGAGAGGCATGATCTGGATTAGGAAGGGTTAAAGCCTCCACACTCATCATGCTGTAGTCCCAATCAGGATTGGTGGGCTCAATCTTTTTAAAAACCTTAATATAATTACTTATTGCATAAATGGTGTGCCTTCATATGTTGCCCTCAATTTTCCTGATGTGGAAGATGTTTTACTAATCGGCTATAGAATGCTTTTTCAGGGCCCTGCTCCAAATCCTTACACTAAATGAACATATGGCTAGTTAAATAGCTTGGAAGAACAAGTTGAAATTAAATTCCAGCTGGTGTCCTTAAAAGGATTTTCAGTTAAGTACTGCCAAGAGATATCTAGTAGCCCCAGTTAGCTGTGTGTGGTGTTACATTCCTGACTTCTACATAAGTATTAGAAGGGACAAGACCTAAAGATTAATTCGCTTTGCACTTAATACAGTGGGCCACTTTGCATGCTCAAACTAAGCCACTCAGTTTCTCATTGAAAGCAAAATTTGGAAGAATTGCTGGAAAACATGGACAGATTAGGAAAGATGCCATTGACATCTGTCAAATGTGAATGAATAAGCCATCACGATTCCTCAGTAAATTCTCATCTGAGGAAGTCCTTGGAGTATTCCCACAGATTTAGAGAGCATTCCCCACACTCTGGGCATAGGATACTGTGGATTTCTAGATCTGAGTTTAGAAATAGAGCTTTAACCTCAGAGCTGGAGATCCATGCTCAACCTGCTCCCCAGATTTTCTATTCTAACTTTTCCATCTTTCCCAAGGGTTAGGTACCCAGGAAGAGATGTCAGATTTGCTATCAGATAGCTGCCAAGAACTTTGGCTCTTTTAAGAAGGGCTTTTCTGGCATGCCTCGTCATGATATTGTAGCTGTTAATCCATATATCTCCCTGGAAATAACTATGGGGGACCTTGTCAAGGAGACCCCCCACCTCTTTTCAAGGGATCCAGACTTTGACACTTTACTGTCATAAGTCTGGTTTGTTTTCAAAGGGTGTGGCTCACCCTTTTCCATTTTCGCAAGTATCTGGAATCTGGGGAACTAGCGAAAAAGTTAGAGGATCTTGCCACAAAGGGGATATGAATCCAACTATGACTTTTTTTGTGAGGACAGATCACACATCTTCTGACAGCTGTCAAACCAACCCAAACGGGGGAAAAGAGACTAAAGAAAGAAGTTGTTTCAAGTATGCAAATATCTGTGGTCTAAACAAAAATAAACAAAAAGGATGGTAACCATAGCCTCTCAAAGGTGCTTCTTGAGCACTTTGAAGGAGCTGTCAGTGGCTCTCAAAACTACAGTTATGAGAACTGTTTATCAAGCCAACTTTTTGTGATCTACCCCTTCCTCCCAGAAAGGGTAAAGGGGAAAAATGACTCACAGTTACAGCTGATAGCAGGGAGATAGGTTGGTCCTGCCACAGTATCTCTGGGGATATGTCAGGAGGACCAAGAGGGAGCGAAGGAGAGAGCAACCCACGGTGAGCCAGATCATCTTTTGGAAAACAATCCACCCACAATGACTTGCTGCCAGGATGGCTTGGCATGAAATTGTAATGCTCTCTCTGGCTGTTGTTGACTTGTGTATTCAGAGTCTAAAGGGGACTGCAGTTAGCTGAACAGTTTAATCCTAAACATTACTGGCTGCTATTGCCTGAGGCGCTTTTAACCTAGAAAAGGTCTGGGGAAGTAGATAGTGCTTATATAGTCCTCCTCAAATTTTACTGAAGCCTTTGAGCTTTTCTTTGCAGCTGACTCCAATTATTTCAGACCCAGAGTATCTACTGGACCAACACATTTTGATCAGCATTAAGTCATCAGACAGTGATGAATCTTATGGTAAGCCTCACCCATAAAGCTTATACACAAGTCAAGCTCTACTTACATTTTTTTTCAAGCTGTTTGGCTTGAGGTACAGAGAGAAGGAATGACAGCAGAGTATTACTAAGTGTTGATTGCTGTGATGCTCTGCTTCCTGCTACAAAAATATAGCTCATATGCACAAAAATATAGCAAGAGCAAATGTAAATCAAAGGCAACCTTAAGTGCTCCTGAAGGTTATGCTTCTTTGCAGAGCCGCTGAACATTTACCTACCCCAAAACAAACCCATCTATTTATTTATTTAATTTCAAGTTTTTCTATGCCATCCATTACTAAAAAAGTCTCTGAACAGCTTACAAGGAACAAAAATACGAGGAACAAAAACCGTAACAGTAACAACACGTAGCACACAGCATCTAAAAATAGTGATAAAAACAAGGATAAAACCAATGTTAAAATACTGGGAAAATAAAAGTTTGTTTCATGTGCATTTGTTTTGCAGGAACTAGTGTCTGTCATCAGTGGTAAAACTGTAAATGCTTTTTATCCCAAATAGTACACATTTGATATGTAGGAGAATGTGCTAGTTTTCCCTGCAGGGAGAGGGGCATCCATCTTTCTTCTCCTAGTGATTACAACTTGGTCATCCATGATATTGTAGTCCCCATGGAGCAGAGCCCACTGCAAACTTCTCTTGCACAGTGAAGATAAGGAAAACTTACTGGGTCAGCTTAGGGATGTGTGAGGAATCCAACAAGGGGATGAAAATCCAATGGTTCAGCACCCCCTGGTGCTGGTTTCTTAGCCCTACTCTGGCACCCATTCACTGTTGTGTGCATTGAGCCAGTTCTCAGACTTTCATCTCCAAGATGTGCTGTGGTTTGTGCATGATTTTTGTTCAAATCATGCTATTTGTGCAAATTAGAAACTGAACTCTATGCAGTTCTCACACAACTCATGCTGGAACTTTGTAGTTTTTGTCTTTTATATAAATTGCATAAATGTAGGTGAACTTCACAATTTGTGCAAGGAAAGTTTTAGCTATTTATCTTTTTAAAATCATGGCCAGTCTTAAAGCCAGAAGTCCATAGAATCCTTCCCTCATGACTTGGCTGACTTCCTATCATTGCAGCAGAAGTGGGCAGGAAGCCTATTGAGCTCAAGCGAGCCAGACTTCCCAGGGTCAGCTTATCCCTAGTCAGATCAAAGATCCACTTCGTCCAATATCCTCCTTCCAGCACTTGCCAGTCAGATGCCTCTGGGAAGTCTGCAACTGGGTGAAATGTCCAGAACAAGAGCGGACATTAGCATTTAAGTTTCCAGTTGTCCTTCAGGGTGTTTTACAGTCAGCACAGCTCTGCTTGTGGCTAATTATCAGTAAGAGTGTGGGCTTACCTCTAGGAAACTGAATATAGGGTTGCAGCCTCCAGACTTGGAGGCTTCCATGAATCCAGAGCCTTGCCGGGCAGAAGCCAGTGGAATAGGAGGAGCAGTGGAGACAGTCTTGGTTCCCCAGTCCTTCAACTGCTGCATTTTCACTAGGCAGCCTTTTGCCATTAGTGGCTGCTCTTCTGAGGGGAGGGATTGAGACTGGAAGAGACTGGAAGTCGCTCATATATTGGCTTTTCTGGTCTCCTAACCCACTGGCATGCCTTCTCCGCCCGCCCTGTCCCCCCGTCTCCAAAATTGATTTTCTGAGCATAAGACCCAGCTGGCATGGTTCTTTCTAGGAGCAGGGAATGGGGTTGGATTGCTGACTCCCTTTTTTGATGTCAGAACATTGTCTGCAACCTCGGAAAAGGGATTGCTCCTGTCCTGTATTGCTCAGGGAGGGGCCATGAGTTTGCTTCTTTAATCTTGTTTGCTTGGATAAATTGGAGCAATAGGTTTGATTTATCCATTGATAAATTGGTAAATTGGAGCAATCGGTCTAGACCCATTCCCTCGTTGTTCTCTAGGTGAAGGCTGCATTGCCCTGCAGAGTGGAGCGACAGAATCCCAGATCCCTATCCATACTGTGCTCACCCACCATGGGGAAAAGACGGGTATCTTCCAAGGAGAATTCAAGCTACAAACATCCCAAGGCAAACAGAGAGAAAAACTGTATGGTAAGGCAGCATGGCTCCCACACTATCATGTCCTTGGCTAGGAAAACTCTAAGGATGCTTCTAGAAAGGAGGTGCCTCCTGCAACCAATCAAAAGGCATAGTGTGACTGCTCTGTTTTTCCTCCTCCAGTGATTTGTTATGGTAAGAAAAAAGGCAGAAGAAGCAGTAGGAAAACATAGGAAGCTAGGAAAGGAAGATGTTTTCATTTGGATGTGGACACACTAATAAAATTTTGTGTTTGAGGCAGGATGATTGCATGCTAAAAGCCTTGTCACGGAACGTGGTGAAGTGATGCATTTGGAAGAATGGGCTTTGTTTTCCTAGCCAAAAATGGTTATGTAGGAGAGCATTCTTTCTGTGTGCTTCTGATGAAAAACATGACTTGGTTTCCATCCTAGATTCCCTGTTCAGTCTCAGGCAAAGGACTTATGCTTGTTTATCAAAGATTTGGGGTTATAGCCTTGATTGCCCTCAGAATATGTTGGCAGAGGAAATAAGCTGTCAGATGGCATTTGAGCAGCAAGAGCTGGTAGCTGCTGAAATCTGGGATGGTGTAAGCAGGAAATACCAGGCTGAGGAAAAGATACACAGACATGTCTTGATGTTTTCCATTTTAATGCTCTTATTGTCACTGCAAGAAGGGACTTGTTGCAAGGTAAGCCCCACAGGTGGGGGGCTAAGTCATGGGCTAAGTTCACGTATCATGACAAGCAACCCTGCGTGGTTACAGCAGTTCATGGTTTTTACCTTGATGTTCCTGAAACAAGATCAGGATCGTGATGGTAACTCTCCTCCCTCCTGCCATTTCTGTCCGTCTCAGTCCTCCAGGCACTATCCCAGGAAACACTGGAGGAGGAATGAGGCTCCTCTCTTTGGCAACCATGATTGAAAGTTGAGTTCAGATCACTGCAGCTGCCAAGCAATCCCTGTTGTCTGAGCCATTAAGCTCAGCACAGAGGGCAAGGGAACCAATGCAGCATCTTCACCTCCTGTTCTGGAGTGTGGTGGGTGGGTGCGCACTGGCGCAGGAGGTGTCTGAAACATGCTCAGGCAGAAAGCAGGTGAAATCAGTTGGCCGGTGCTGCAGAAAGCAGCAGTGCTACTCAGCTGCTTCCCCTCTGCCCTGCACATACATGGCTGGGAGAAGCAACTCACATGAGCAGGAGCAGGGAGAATATTTATTTATTTATTTAAAACTTTTATATGCCATCCTCTATGCGTGGCATCTCAGAATGGCTTTCAAACAATAGAATGGCTAGGCAGCAGTGCCCAGCGGGCCCAGTTGGATTTTCTAATTGGCAAGGAGGGTGGCAACAAGAAGGGCCTTTTCAGGAGTGGCACCCCAACTTTGGAATGTGTTCCCAGGAGAGGTTCGCCTGGTGCCCCCTTTATATTCTTTCTGGCACCAGGCAAAGACCTTTTTATTTTGTCAGAATTTTATTTGCTAATCTGTTTTTAATGATGAGTATTTTAATGTGGTATGCCTTTTATGTCGGTTCAGTTAAGATGTATAATGATAATTTAAATTATCAGGGAACTGCAGAAATCACAAAGCAGCTGCAGAAAGGGAGGAGGGGTTAGTATTTCCCCTTTCTGGAGTAGCTGGAAAATCAGGAATATGTCGAAAAGGTGGAGACCCTGAGACATATTACTAACAGAAAATTACATTGCTAAGTGGGAGATACTGTCCCTTACCCTGTTAGTGTGTCTATTTCTTCCACCTTTCCCTACTTTCAGTGCATTTCCTTGGTGCAGCTGGGCTCCTCCTCTCCTTTAACACTTTCTCCACAGTCTTGCATTTCCTTTGACAGCTGAAACGTGCAAGGGAATTGAGTGGGTAAGACTATCAGCCAAAAGGACATATTTGCACACTTGTGAAAGACCAACAATAATAGTTTTTTGAACAAAAAAACTGGCACATTTTTGCGGCTTCAAAAATAAAAAGTAAATTGAAGCAGAGAGGGGGTCTAGGTGACGAGATAAGTCTGGTTCTACCACAAAGTATCCTGGGATACATGCCTGATAAAAACAGTCTTGTCAATCATATTGTGCATATTGGGCAAACAACCCACACTATAGTTCTTGTTTGTAGGAATGGTTTAGCATTATGCATGAAGCCGAATTGTTTCACTGATCGTTTATGTTAATCGCAGGTATTAAAATTGGAAGATTTAGCATTGTGTGCAAACATTAGCTGTTAGAGAAATCAGTAACTTTAAGATAATCAACTGTAATCCTATGCATTGATAGTTCTCTGCTTGTCTCAGACTTTGTGAAGGTTGAACGGGATGAAACAGCTGGGCAGAAACCAGCGAGGGGCTTGAGCTGTGTAGACTATGCCAAAGAGCGGGAGCAGATGAGTAGGTAAGTTGCAGGCATGAGTGCAAAAGTGACTGACATGTTGGCTGATGACATGCCCTCAGGCAGCTCTGGATGTGCCAGAGAAAGTGGGCAGTGCAGAATAATTAGGATCTGGGGAAGTTGCTTCAATGAAACCCTTCCTAGCAAACTAATAAAAGATGATAAGACTGTGTAGTGAACTTTCTCTGAGTAAATTAATGGATGCAAGAAATGACTGCATGGAGAAAAGACAACCATGTTAACACTGTGTTTCAGAAAATGAACATCCATCTCAAAAATCACTAATCTGCTTTTCCTTAAAGGTGTGCTTCTTCTAACAGGATGCCCTCTCACCTGGTGGCCAAAGAAGCAGCAGCAATTGCTCGCTTTCGAGGAACGACAACCTCTCTGGATGAACCGTGCAAAGATGATCACTTGCGGTAAATTCATGGGGTCACCTTAGACTTCTTCCAACTGCACATTACATTAATGGTGTGGTTCACCACCATATGGAATTTTAAATGTTTTAAAGCTATGCACAGGGTGGGTGAGGTGAGCGGAGAGAAGCTTTTCCATTGGCACCACAGGGTAAAAGCTCCACAGTAGTTTTCTTATTCTAATGTGCCTAGCACACTCTCTGAAAGATTATATTTAAACTGGTCTTAGTGGACTATGGAACAGGGAAACACCTGGATTTGTCAGTTGTTACCATAGCCATATCACACAAAAAATGGGTGAGTTTGTCCTGATATTAAGAAGGGAGATGTGTGAAAGGGAGATTTGCCAGAAACAAAGGAGGCTGCATTGTTGTTAAAGACATAAATGGCTCTTAAGAGTGAAATCTAATATCAAGAAATATCCATTATAATAGCTTATAGTGGTAAATTGACTAGGATTTGAGAAAATACCCATAAACCTTAGAAAAGCTTAGGGTAAATAATATGCATTGAATTTGGAGTGTGGGTGTGATAGGATGAGTAGCCACTTGCTGAGCCAACTCTATCCTGAGACAGGATTAGCAAGAGGTCTTGAGTACTGTGCAAGGATGATAAATGAGCATTGATTATTCATTATTTATTTTTACATGGGAAGGGTGCCATTTGGATCTTTCAGCTCAGCCAGCAAAACATCTTAGGCCAACCATGGTCCTTGTCCTCAAACCACATTTGCTGAGATGCAACTACCCTGATGGTTCAGTAAGATCCAGAATGGAGGTGGAGTCAGCAGTCTACCTCATATGTGCAAGCTTATTCATCCCTCACCACCAGTTATCAAAAGTGACAGACTACCTCATTTCCATAATGGCATATTATATGAATATGGTTTATTCCCCTCTTCCATAACTCTTTCTCTTCAGCAGTACAGTAACTGCAGACATCACCAATCCAAGCTACTTACGAATAGCTGCTTCCTCTCAGTCATTCTCTGCAACAAGCCAGTTTAAGCAGGTTCCTTCGCCAGACCAACCACCTGCCTTCTGGAATTATGAGTCACAACCCAAAGATAATCCTTCTCTGCCAGGACTAGAGTCTCCCACCACACCTTCCACCCTCTCTCCTGGATCTCCAAGAGCCAATACTCAGTCTGCAATTCTCCGAAAGGATCAAATGTGAGTTTTCCCTCACATCCTAGATATGTTTTAGTTTCACCGCATTTTGACCTGCTCTCACTGCAGTGTAAGAAGATGTAGGTATTCGGAGTGAGGGCAATTGCCTAAAAATATCAAATGAGGTGCCATCAGCACCATCATGTTGCTTTAAATATGGGGAATCCAGATACAATACTTTTGTCACTGTGGAGTAGATATTTGAAGGACTGATGTCATACCATTACTATTGCATGGCATTTAGCATGTGCTATTCTTCTTGACCATTTTTTTCCATCTGTTTTCATCACGGTCATTTTGACATCTCTCCCAGGCTACCACAAGACATTTTACTGCCTTGGGTGGAACAATAAATGGCGCTGTCAGGTCTAAGTCCATAGTATCAAGGTCTGGTTTTGTCTTGGCAATTGTGGCAGAAACTCCCATGTGCCTCTCCCCTTCTCTGGCAGAGGAAAAAAGGAATAAATTAAATAGCTAACCTTTTCACAACGTAAGAAAGTTGCCCCATTCTACTTAATGCTTTCACCTAACCTCTGTCCCCCTTTGGTTGTTGTCTGCTTAACCATTGCAGATACTCTGAGGTGAGGAAAAGTGTGATAGAACCAGCAGTGCTACAAGAAGATATGTACTTGAAACCAGAGATGATTGACAACCCACTGTATGACTTCACAAAAACCAAGGAAAAGCTAACAAAAGAGACAAAAGTCTTGAAGATGTCACGAAAAGAACTCCCAATCATCCCTGATCAGAACTTCCCTTTGACCAAGTTACAGGAGGTTGACAGCAGCAAATCTTCTAGCAAGCAACCATCTCCTCCACCTTTCTTAGTTCCCACGCCCAGATTTCGTTCTTATACCTGTTCCAACCAGTCTGAGGCAAAGACTGCAACCAGTGAAAAGACTCAGAGCAAGCAGAAGCTCTGTTCCCACTTAGACCCCATAATGCCAACATCCAAGAAACCTGTCAAATTCTCAAGGTCTGAAGCAGGACAGAGTAAACCTCCTCTTCCATCCAAAAGCCAAGTAGTGCTTGACATGCAAAACATCAAGGGGCGAGATTATCGAGAGAATTCAGAACTTCCACACCACAGAAAACATCAGAATGAAGATGGGACTGTCAACAGGACAACTGTGCCAGTAAGGCTTAAGTTAGGAACAGCGCCAGCTCCAGGCTTTTAAGGGTCCTTGGGAAAGGCATGGTGGGCCTTCAGTGGGCCCCCTTCAATGAGTCCACCTTCTCACCACTAGCAGCAGTTACTTCTTATCCTCTCTCTCACTTGCCACCACTTGCTTGCTTGACAGACAGGCGGATGGGTGGTGAGCAAGAAGGCAGGGATATCTACTGCTCTTCATTCTCTTCACCTCTCTTGTCTGAGCCAGAGCAAGATGCAGGTCAACAAGTAGGTTGCAGGTGTACAGAGGAGGAATAACTCCTGCATAGTCTTGTCTGCAGGCCCTTTGGCAGATGATTGGCAGCAGTTCTTCGGAGATTCATACTGTGGCTTTTCTCAGATATCCCTGCAGATGCTACAGTTGCAGTCGGTGCTCTTTTGCATGCAGGGCATGTGCTGAGCCACAGCCTCTGATTTTGAGTAGTAGGTTATCATAAGGTAGGGTATGCACCATGTTATCACAGGTATTGTGTCATTGCAAGCGAAAGCCTATCATCTTATTGAAAACTGGCTGTTGAGGTGTGGGGACTGTAGTGTAACTGAGACATTGTGACATTGGATCTGGCATTGTCTTTGCTATAAGAACACAGGAGATCCAAGAGTCTGATTTTAATTTGCCACTAAGAAATTCAGTGGTTTTAGGGGTTAAATAAACTAAGAAAAATGCTAGTCTTGGACTGGTAACCTAAGGAACAATCTTTAAAGCTTACTTTAAAGCAGGGATGGTATTGGGCTTGTGAATTTACTGGTGATATAATATAACCTGATCTAGTGCTTATGGTGGATTAATTCCCATGAGATCCTTTCTGCAAGCTAATCCATTTCAGGTGGTCTTCTGGGCTGGTAGACTAGAGGACATTCCATGGAATGCGTAATTTAATTTCATGCCTAAATGGTCCAGAGACAACCATCTAGCTGCATTTATTGCATTGCTTAAAATGTCAAGTCTAAGGGAATGATCCTATGGCCTGGAGTGTCAGGATCTGAAGCCCTGACAAAGCTCCCTCTGGTGGCATCATGCTAAGGAACATCCCAATTCACTCTGCAAGTGCCTCCTAACCTTGCCTGCTTCTGACCTTGCCTTCTCCTCCAGTTCTGCATCACCATAATGGTATCTGACCCTTGCCTATCTCTACTTTCTCTTCTGTACTCATCACATCCTGTTGATATTGGGTCCTGGCCTGTTCCTTTGCAACTGGCTGGATCGCTGACCCCACTTTGTCTTATCAGGACCTGACCTCAGCCTTTATTTGGACTTGCTTTTATCTCTGGTCTTCTACCATCGTGCAAAAACCTCTATTCTAGTACAGCACCATGGTCCTGTTGTTCCAACTATAGTCACCTGCCACCTGTGTGCCAGACTTGACATTGAGACAGTGTCTCATGGGGTTATAGGAATTTTTGGATTCCTAGATCTGAGATTGGAATTTCAGCCTCATTGCCCCCTTGCAGCTGACATTGAGAAAATGGCACCAGCTGCTCTTCCAGGGCTGGGAAAGCAACCTTATAGAGGGGTAAAAGAGGACATCTGGGGGCAATGGGGGAGGTGAAGAGACTGGGAACACCTGAATATGAGGTATCCTAAAGCTTCTCCAGCGTCCTTCTCTTCTCCTCCTCTGAGATGTTCTAGTTAGTGGAATGAAAAAGCCCATCTAGCAAAAACACAGAGCAGGAGGATGGGGAGGCAAATATCACCTCTGATTTTCCTCCTGCTCTGCATTGGATGCCCATAAGCCTCCAAACTGGGGGGCTCACCAGTATCCCAATAGGAGTGCACCTTAGTGTCTTATATCTGAAAGTTCTAGTGTACTGAAACATACTTACTGAGCTTTGACTAGAAAGTATCATATGTACCCAGATAGTATTCTTAGCATCTACTAGCAATGGCTCCCGATGTCACCTATAAAACAGAACTTGCTTGCTTGAAGCAAGCTATGTTTGGGTGAGAGAGAACAGGTTAAACTGTATAAGGTTAGGTTTAAGATGTGCCCTACTTTCCTCCAAGCTTTGTAACCCCTATAGCAATTATTTTGCAAATAAGCTGAAGACTGGATGTTCTTTTTGTCTTTGCAGTGAATAAGAACATCACTGATGAGATTGCAGGAACAGTTTCGAAGAGAATCAGCATGGATATTTCCCAGAGTTTATGGCCTGGTGCACAATGCCTTAGATTTTTAATGCTGGAAAAAAGTAAACTCTTATATATTTCTTTAAATATAATGCAAAACTAAGTTACACCAAAATTCTAGATTTCAGAGACCAAGAAATGTCATAAAGGTTAAATGTTTAGATACTTTCTTTGCAGCTTTGTAATTCCTTCAAGACCAAGGAAGTTGTGAATGTTTGTGTAACAAAAGGTACATGTGTTGGGAATGGGAAATACCAGAGGCTGGGTACATTCAAAGCAGGCTCTGTATGCATAAGCTATTACAGCAGGTTACTACATTGCAGCATGAATAAGGGTGATTTTGGCTTATCTAGAACCCATCTAGAAAATAGCCCAGCATCACTCCATTTTTTCACTCAGTGACAGAGTGAAGAGCAAAGAATGCTCAGTTTTTAAACATGTGCAATGTTGTACCTTTGCTTTTTAACAGGAAAAGACCAGAAGGGGTATTTTCTACAGTTATGGAAGGAGGTCCCTTAGGAGTACTATCTCTGTGTAGTAACTGCTGCTGGTTTTTTTCCCTTCCATATAGTTCTAGATTCCTCTGAAAACATGAATTGAGCTAAAGGAAGCTCTTTCTCAGGTACGGAAAGATTCCTGCACATCCAGACCCACAAAACTTTATTTATCTGACTTGGCCTCCTATATTTTTTATAATCATTTAAGAAAATACAGAAACTTGTTTACCATCTTCAGGTACAAATGTGAAGCAAAATGACCACAGGTTGTTCATTTAAAATTAAATAACCACGTTACTCAGTTCAGCCTGTTTAAAACGCAATTCCTTTGTAAAGCAGGATGTCTTACAGATTCTTTTAATAGCACCCTTATTAGGCTCTTGCTGACTTCATATTTGACATCAGCTATAATGTTTAGTTTCTAATTTTGCATCTCTCTGTGACCCTTAGAGACAGCTTTGCCACAAACTAATGCAGTTTATGATGTCATCTTTGCTACTTTTCCATGTTTGTTGCTAAACTTTTTTTAAAGGAAATAATTCCTGATCAAAAATATAAAAACAAACTATTGTCTCCTTATTGGTTGTTAGTTCAATGCAGATTTGATAATGTTATCACTCAACCCTTTGTCAAGCAGTTGCTCAAACATGTCAGGTTCTGATTCTGCCCCTTCTTAGAGCATTGTTAGAGGTACATTATGTAATCACCTTGCTGAAGCTAAGCAGGCTTGTGTCTCATCAAGGACCTGACGGAGGAATGTGTGGGGGCTGCATGCACACAATTTCACACTTATGTGTAAGCAGTTTCTGCGCTAATGGTAGAAACCTCCACGCCTAGATGGGGGAACTGAAGTGCTTGGTATTAAAGGGAAGCATACGTACCGTGGGCATAGGGGAAAACTGCAATGGAGAAAACTCCTTCCTGGATACAGCTCTGTAAGAAGAGTGCAACGGGGCACAGGGTCCTTAGGTAAGTCAAAGAGTTTTGTTTCAAGCAAACTGGAAACCTCTAAAGGACAGACCTCACTACGGAATCACTCTGGGTGACATTATGAGATTGCAAAAGTAATTTAGTACTGGGCTCATGCTATTGCCCCCCTGATCAAGATGCTTGAGGTGATGTTGAGATAGAGAACAAAATCCAAGTAAGGCAGTGTTGGAGCACTGGGTGACTTCAATTCCCTTCACATGCAATGCACATATGCATGTCCCCGTCACGTACAGAGGTAAAAAGCACCCCAGTGCACCCACGCTGCTCCACAGCCCTTTCCAAATCCCCCTGCATCCACCTGGCAGTGCCCTGGACCAATCGCCTTGTCCCCACAGAGCCCTCTCCAGCTCATCATGGGTCTCTCCCCAGTCCTGCACATCAGGAGGAAGGTTGCCCTACAGCCTTCCCCAAAGCTTCCCTATGGCAAGCCAGGTTTACCAGGTGACCTGACCGGTATGCTGCAAAGCGAAGTATCTGTCCTGCAGCCCCCTTGCCCTCACCTTCATTCCCTAAGAAGGCAAAGTGAGGTGGGGGCACAATACAGATGTATACCATTATGCATGGTGTGGCTAAAGTATGAGTGGCCTGCTTCTAGTATTTTCTTCATAATACTAAAAGCAGGTCACTCAAAGATGCTGTCAGCTATGAGATTCAGGACAGTTTCAAAGGAGTACGTCTTCATATAGCCATAAATTGTGGAATTTATCTACCACAATATGTAGTGATGTCCACCTTTTAAATGACTATAAAAGGGGACTGGACAAATGCATGGAAGATACGGCTTATCACTGCCTACTGGTCATGATGACTGTATATTTCCCCCAGTATCTGAGCCAACCTTCAGGAAAGTGTGAGTGAGAAGGTGCTGTTGCAGTCAAGTCCTGCTTGTTGCCTTCCTGTGAGGACAGAAGAAGATTGCTGGGCTAGAGGGGCCTTTGGCTGATCTGGTAGGCACAGTTATGCTTTAATGACTGATCAAAAGGTGCATTAACAGTAGGAAAATTAATGAATAGAAGGGCTTAGCCCTACTAAGATGTTATTTAAGGTCAGGGCAATAATGAAGTTAATAGCTAATGAAAGATTGCTTAGGAAACCTTCAAAGTGCTCATCTGCTGTCTGAAATGAATATTAAGGACAATCCTTCTGTTTTGTTTCCTTTTCCATGAATGAAGCCTTGACTAATAAACTAGATCCCAGTGTAGGGCACATAAAAGACAGCTGCTTTTTGCCCAGAAAGGTCATCTCTGACTAAGAGCAGACTCCCTCCCAAGGAGCAAATATGTTGCTTTTGCCACACAGCCAATCTAACCTAGCCATTTCCCCACTGCATTTCTGTTCTGAAAACAGCTTGTTTCCCACAGACACGTTTCCCAACTTTAGCTCCGTTCTTAAAATAGCGATGTTCTTTCAGTGTGCTAAATTTCCATGGTGATCCAGCTGTCAGGAATGCTTGAAGGGTTTCAGCTACAGTTGGTAATATACAGAATGCAGTGACAAGGAGGGGTGTTGTCCTGCAACCCCACAGCAGATTTTTTGCACAGCTATACCTACCGTTCTCCAGTTAGTCCTGCAGAATGGGGGCTCAGGTTTGTTTACCAGTGCTGCTGAAACACAGAAAAGACCCGTGCCAGCAGTTTTCTTAATCATATTTATAGCCATGTCTACACTGTGAGTTCTGGACAGTAGTAAAATTCAAGAATGGGCTGCATAACAGACTACACTCATTGATCCAAGGTAGCACCCAGAGAGATGGTACCTGCATTTTTGGCTGAGTGCAATCTGTAGCATGAAGCTGGGAATGCAGGAAGCAGCTTCTCTCCCCAGTCCAGCGCTACATTTGCTACAGGAAACCTCCCATATGGATTGAAATGCTGGCAATGATCACTCTTCATGTGAACCAGCACAGACTGAGACACTCCAGCTCAAGTGGTCTGCAGGGATCAAAAGTGCTGAAATAGCACTCTTTGTTCCCTTGGTAGAATAACAGATGCCACAGTGGGTGTATGGTGTTGTGCAGGTTCAGATTTTGTGGAAACTCCTTACTGTCCTGCCCACTCAAATGAAGTCCACATTTTCTATCTCACAACTTTAGCTCCAAAGAGGTATCTGCTCCCACTCAGTTTTTCAGAGCCTTTGCATGCCAACTTGAATCAGATATTAGACTTGTCAGAGTAGTTGTATGCCGAGCATGCGGGTGGGCTGTTGACGTAGAAGGTTTCATTCAAGGTGGAAGTGGTTTCATTGCACAGTAACAGTTCATATTGTGTTAGCTGCAAGTATCAAAATTTGCGGGGACTAAGTGTGGTATGCTTAATAGACATAACTGTATGCCAAGGTGTGAAGTATACAAGGAAGCAACTCAGAGATCACAGGAAGGTCATCTCTAGTCTAAGCAAAGATAAGATCACTGTCATGAAGCATATCTGTGGAGGACTTCTGCAGTCGCTGTTTGGTTTGGAATTAACATCATTTATTTACTATCTATGGAGACTCTTCGCAAGGTGTTCTTGCTAAGTAGTTGCATTAGTTTGGTGTTGTTTCCTTGTCTTTTTTCAGTCCTAGGGACAGGCAATGTGCTATTGAGGCTTTTAAGGGCTGCTTCTTTTATTAGAAACTTCTTTCTCTGGGACAAATAGTTCAGTTTGTCATTGACTCCTGTTCAGTGCAGCAAAATGCTATTACTGAATTACTAATTAATTGATCCATAATTAGTGAGTTCCAGCTCCTATGGAGGGACAGGATTTTAATTGTTACCTCTTTTTTGCAATCAAAGAAAAGATAGTAAACTAGTAATTAATGTCCAATAAATCCCCATGCGGTACAAAAACTGATTTAGGGTACAATCCTATGCATATTAAGACAGAAGTTATACAACTTCCAGCATTCCCCACCATTCATGGCTGGGGCAACTGGAAGTCATAGGACTTTTTTTCTCTGTCTAAACATGCATAGCATGGTAGCCTTAGGGAGGGATCTTATGTCCCCTAGACTGAGGGCTATAGAATAATTTGGATTCCCAGATCTACGGTTGGAAACTCAGAGCAGGGAATTGTCCCAAAACTGGGAAAGAACCACACCAGCTTCCTCTCCATGATTAGGAACTTTACCTGGGAGGGAGTGGTATAGTGGGAGTTCTCATGGGTGCGGAGGGGAGGAACCTTCAATGTACCCTGGCAGTAATCCAGCCCCTTTCCCTTGCCCACTCCCTCTGAAGTCCCTCAAACAGAAGGAAATGGTTGTCTAGGTAAATGCAGAGTGGCAGGTGGGAAAAGAAAGACCCTTCCTCTGTTCTAACTCTGCACTGGATAGCCAGAACCTTCCCAGTTTAGACTACTTATAAGCATTGAGGCCACCATCAATAGGATTGTGTCCTTAATAAAACAGCAGTGAAGGGGCAATTCGTAAAGCTAGAGTATGCTGAAAGAAGTGAAGTTGCAAGTAGGAAGCTTTCTATTAAATTGCAGAGGTCCTTTGTAAAATGGGACTTACTGCTTGGTCCTGAAGACAGGCATAGATACACTCTTAAATTAAGAGCAATGTGGAACCACTGTTTCCAACTGCCTGCAGAAAAACAATGCTAATAAGGGAAGGATTTCAAGTTTCTGAATCCAGATATGGGTACTGCAATTGAAGAAGGGTGTGGACAAAATAGGACACTATCAGGGGAAAGAGTATCAAAGAGTTATCAGCACATATGGAAAACAAATTATATGAGGGAAGGTTGAAAGAACTGGATACTTTTAACTTGGAGAAAGAAAACTAAGAAGTAATACAATGTCTTTGGACATATTTATGTGGCAACATGCTATCCTATTACTACTAGCAATAGCAATAAGAGGACTTTTTATTTGAAAAGATGTCCCACAGAAACTGTTCTCTGCTCTCTCAGGGGCCAGGGCAAGATCTAATAAGCTTAAGTTAAGAGGCAATAGATTTTGGATGGCTATTAGGAGAAATTTATTTTTTATAAGAGCAATTTGACAATGCAACCAATTCTTTAAAGTAGTAATAAGCTACACCTCCATGGATCTCTTCCAGCAGACAGTGTCAGGTATGTTCCAACACTGCATTTCTTGCATTAAGCAAAGTCTTTTGAGTATATTTTGACAACATTTTTGTCCTATAAAATTCCTCCAGCTAGATAGCCTACAAGCCCCCATCCCCTATCATTCTATTTGTCTTATTAGGTCAGTGTTAAAGTAACTTTTCCATGCAGCCTTACTTTGATTGCTTGCTTTTATTCTCTAAGGGTAGAATCCAATGTATGTCTACAAAAAATAGAGTCCCACAACTCCCAGCATTCTGCAGCCAGCATGAGCCTTAAATGATCTGTTAGCAATGTGAAAAAAGAGTCAAATCTTAAGTGTTGCTGTATTTTTTCCCCAAACATTGGTGTAACAGCCCCATTGTTTTTCTAATTTACCGTATATTCTTGCTGGATGTCCTGCACAGCATAAAGTGCCATGGGAGATAACACTACATGAATCAACACCAAGAAAACAGCTGCGCTTTGTTGTTTTCGTTATACTGCTTTTTCTTGCAAATTTTATTTACAATTCATGTCTAAGCCAGAAACAATAGGCAGCA